TAGATTGACAGGTTGGTAGATTAGGATTTGGGATGACACAATGAGTGGATACACCTGCTCCATTGCAAATGATTTTCAGCCTTGTCATTCAAGGTCTCTAACCATCGGTTGCTATCATCTCGCGAATCCCAATTAGGTAGTCTACACCTACCGAATACTTAAGACCGATCACAAAGCCTTATTGTGAGTAGTTTTTGATGTGTTCACTCAATACTTTTCATACCACAGGCGACAGAAATCTGTAAAGAAATAATAAAATCACTTTGTACTTCACTCCTCTTTGTAGTAATTTTGCACCGTTTCGGATGCTAGTTGTTTGTCTGAAACATCTCACATCTTCCATACCTCTCTACAATCTACACTACTTCTCTTACGTATCTCAAATTATTGCTCCAACTATAACCATTCTCTCTAAACCTAAAAGAACAAGTTTTCCAAGTTATATAGCTCAATTGGTTCAACAGACCATCACACCAATTTAGCAGATACGATCAGATTGAAGAATCATTTATCAATCCTAATCTTCAGACTCATCAACATTCAACCCATTTTTTTTATAAAAAAGAACTCTCAGATATTATGCTATTTTTGACTAATTTATGATCGATTTATAGATCTTCAAATCCAATTGTTCTGTTTCTTGATTTATTAAATCATGAAATCTATAGTTATCGATCTAAATTGAAATTGTTTAATAAGAGATATTATTTATCCATGTTATTATTTTATTGATTTGATTCCTATCACTTTTTTTCATTCATTATGTAAATGGACTTCTTTTTCTTCTAATATATATATATATACATATATATATATATATATATATATATATATATATATATATATTGACTTATCCATTTGAAATAGTAAACAGAAGGTTACAAATATGAATTCTGATGGTCGAAATTTTTCAGTGAAGATAAGATTGAACGTAGTTTGTTTATTTTCTATCAATCTATAATGATAGGCATGGGGGGTGATTAATTGGTTTTTAAAATTCTAACTTTCTTTAACCTAGTTGATATTTTGTTTGTTTTTTAACCCCTTAAGTAACTGATCTATTGAAGAAAGTAAACTATTGTTTTAATTAGGATATATAAATGTTGCTTATGTAAGCTGGTTAGTAAATACGCAAAGTACAGTTATAAAAAACTTTAATTTTATATAGTCTATTTATTTGAACATATAAATATTAGTACAAAAGTGTACCGAATATATATGCATCACACAGGTCAATTGATTTGTGTGTGGACTGTGATACTGCCCGAGTGCTCAAACTGAATCAGGTGGTTTTCTTAGGAGGCAGTGGGACAACGTGAGGAGATGCAGTTCCATGGTAACCGGTGATCAACGATTGATTCGTACACCATTTGTTTCTTTAGGATCCGGAAGCCTATGTGCACCATTGATTTGGAATGAGGGTTTTCCAACTCCCCTAGGTGGATCCTCCATGTCCACCAATCTGATAAAAGCGCCGGATATTCGCTTTTCGTACTCTCGATGTCGTAAAAAACACTCCCGCTTCGAGAAGGTAATAAGTAGTACTTCCCTGGTAGTGGTTGTATGCACGTGGCCATGTGAAAGCATTTAGAGTGGAGTGAATCAGTCCTAATATCTTTTTAAAATACTCACCATTTTCTGATATCACACTCGTCTCTCTTTCTCTTGTTTAAAACATTCATGGAAGTTTTCAGAGGTTGTCAGTCACTGCGGTAAAGTGACTATTCACTGCATGTTTTACCATCTTTTCTTTGTTTTATAATATCATCTCGATGTTGTAGTTAATAAACCATTAATCAACCGTTCCCTGCTCTTTTGTCTCGTGTCAGCAAATATTTGTGTTCTCTGGATTTCCTAATTTCTTTTTATTGGCTTTGTGCTTAGTAATAGAAGTCATTTTATTTGGCTTGAAGTTATACTGCTGTTATAGCAAGCAACAAGATAAACCTGTTTCAAGAAAAGGTTTTTATATTGAAAGGGATTTCCAATGATCGTTTTTACTAAACGTGCAATAATTTTTTTAAAAAAAACTCGTATATCCTTCTTGGACCAGTAAATATTAAAAAAATACAATATTAGTTAGTTTCTTTAAAAAGGATATGACACTGCTAAGTTTCCTTCGTAAAATGTTTCGACTGCATCTACCATTATGACATTTGTACATAATGCATATTAAGTGTATGGATTAAAAAAAGCAAACTGTAACGGCCGAACTGCCAGTATTCGGTTTGAACGCAGGACTGACGAACCAAAACGTATTCGAATAGGCCAGACTACGCTCTTCTGTATAGCTTACCAAGCGTTTTTGAGACATTCGTATTAAATTATATCAAAACACAAACTCTGTGCTCAATTTAAACGGCTCTAATTTAGGAAATGGAACAAATTATATCAAAAATACAAAATACTTTAAACGGTACAGCTTGTGCTATACAGTCAAAAGTTTCTCTAACGCAAAGTAGCGCGCTAAATAATAAAAGAAACAGTTAATACCAAAGGGTTCGATACCTGAGAATCAATAAAAATATTCCCAACAGAATGGGATCAAATATCTATCTGCAGGGATTCCAGCAATCCTCCCAAGCAGACAGTCAAATGGTTAACAGTCACACAATGAATCACGCCGTGACCCTGAGACAGTCAAACACGACCTTACTGTCAATATTCCGGCAACATGCAATAGAAACTTAGGTAACAAAAGATAAGTCTTTAATCAAAATCACGTAATAAAAGCTCAGATGAGGAAGACGGAAGAACAAAAGGTGTGGTTAGACGAGATCTGAACAGATGTTAAAATACACGACAGGGAGAAGAAACAAATAAATGACAGTACTGTCCGACAAAAAAGCTGCGGAGGGATTTCCATCGTTTTCTTTCCGTTACACTTACCATATCCAGTACTAAACATTACATAGTGCTAGAAGCTTTTTATAGGAGCCCATGATTATATTCTGCAATTACATTTCATAATTTATCAATTAAAATAAATCTAAAACAATAGAACGTTGATTGTATAGTTAGGGAATAGGTGATCCAGTAGTTTGAGAAAGTCAAATCATCTGCATGATAGATTTGTACTACTTACAAACGTTCTTGTTCTTTGAGATATTTGACAAGGACTTGATATCAATGATGTCTTTGATTTTTTGTATGTTAAATAAATCAATTCCCCCTCTCCACATTATACCTTTACTTAGTTTGATCATTTCAATAGACGATATTATCTTTTATCCTTTATGTTTTAGTAGTTAGGTTACTTTCATCACAATAAATTGTTTCTCAATCTTGTTTGATCTATATTTACCGATATTAGTCGATATTTTCCGGTGTTTTTTTCCTTATTTGTGCATGTTCTCAATTTTCGCTTAGTCGTTTAGATCGTATACAGTAGTAAAATAGTGGTTGGGTGAATAAAACAAACTGTTTCTTGTTTTGCAAATGCAGATCATATTATACGTTTATCATTTGGACAGTTGTTTTATTTTGGTAGAAACGATAACGTATTCAGATTTCCGGTTTACTTACATTAAATTTTACTCACGAACTATTGAATATTTTTCTAGTACGAACGAGAATGGTTGTTAACGCAAATAAACCGGATGTTTTACTTTCGAGTGCACTTCAACTTTAATAATGCACATAAAAATATCAAATGTAGAAGACGGGAATTTCAGGTTATGAATCAGAAAAATGTCATCGAGGTTATCCTGCAAAGAAAGAACTAATATATATTAGCAAAAGATTAAATAGTCTTTACTCTCCTTAGCAATAGTGTATAATGAGTTGTCAGACCATAAAAATGTAACTAAAGTCAGTCAAATATACCATTAATGGAGTTGGATTAATCGTGAAATAATTTATGATGAACATTTACTAAACAATATGCTGTGAGAAACTGAATACGTCAATAACTTACAGAATACATGAATATGCACAACAACTAAAACGTATCACGTGATATTTTCAGTGTAAAGGTTTATATCGTTTAGTTTTTTTTAAAATTTGTTTTAGTGATCATTAATTTGTTTTAATAGTTAAGTTAGATTGAGTGTTGCGTTATTGTGTTTTCATCAATGACATTGACATTCTATCTATCTATATAATTTTTAGGCTTTGACATATACTTTTCATACAATGAACTCACTATCAGAATATTTATATAACATTACCTGAATCAACCTTTGTCATTTAAAACTAATTGTGCTTTTTTAACGGCCAACTTTTAATAAAAAGAATGATTCTCGAATAATGATATTTATTAGTTTACAGCTTGCATCAAGAACCTATAGTTTGATTGATAATTTTGATAACTGGTATCCAGTGATTATATTTGCTTAGGGATCTTTCAATTGTTTGATTTAGTTAATCTTTTAATGACTAAGTAGTACACTGATTTATAGAAGTTATTTGAAAGAGATTTTCATTCTTGTCCAATTAGAAGTGTTTTGAAATTTGATTTTTTTTCCGTGGAGAGTTTATAGTAATGTTTCTCAATGTTTTGCATACATGACTAACGCTGTTATAAGTACTCGTGTTAACAATGTCAAGTATCTATAAGTTGACTTATTATGTACATGTGTACGTTATTGAGGACCAAGTGATTGTATGCTAATGTCTACTAATTCTTCAACTGTTTTCCCGTAATGAAAACTATCATCTTAGATAACCTTTTAATATCTTTCATCTATTTCTTCTCAACTGATTGTAATCTATACTAATGAACAAAAGCACTTTCTGTCGAAGTTGACTTCATTGAATAGAGGTCAGTTTGACTCGGAAGTAAATGAAATATCAAATTTCTTAGTAAAAGACATGAATATATCCAAAGGTGTTTTTGAGAGCTCGAATAAAATTGATAGAGTTATTTTGTCAAAAAAAACAGCCATTATTATTTATAAAAGGTAACATAAATCAATTAGTGTTTAATAATTTCTCGTATAACATATGCCTACTTACAAGTAGTATATTTATATATCGTTTATTTTATTTACACATTATAGATCTATCTATTCCATCCAAATCTCCAATTTCAATGAATACATCAAAAAATTTAAATTCTAATCTACAATTAATCAAAGTGAAAGAATTATTAAAACTTTTACGTTATCTTATATTTCAATGTCATTTATTATGTACCATAGATTTATTACAAGGTATTTGGGATTCATTATTCAAGCCAACATTTCAACCAAATTTTACTGTCAACAATCATATTTTATTAAAATATCAATATCAAATTGTATTAACAAATGATTGTGATTTATGCTTTAAATGGTTTACATTGTTTTTTAATGATTCTGTATGGTCAGAATGTCGTGATTTTATTTGGGATAATTATTCAACATTAAATCCAAAATTAATGACAAATGCTGGTGTAGAGTAAGTTAACTTTTATTTTTTTCTTTCATTTCTTCAATTCGATATAATTTTTTATTCATTATTCATGAATTATATGGTTGAAATTCAGTCAGCTACAATGTAGGACCAGGCACATATATGTATCGGTCTAAGTTGCCACACTACATTAGCACAGCAAAATGAACACAAAATTCATAGTAGTTAATTCATTGATGGTAATATATAAAAGATTCTATGTAAGCATGTAGTACAGAAAGAAAGAATTAGTTGGTAGAATGAAAGGTGTAAAGCGGTATCAATCTCATCTATTATTTATATTTGAACACATAAATATTGGTACAAGAAGGCACCAAATATATATGCGCTACACAAAACAACGAGAACGGGAAGAGAAAAAAAGGAAGGTAATGAGCATAAACGAAAAGAAAAAAAACAATAACGACCAGATTAGTGTAAGGTCGTGTAATGGTAGTAATAATGCGGGAAACGAAAAGATACAATCAGGAGAAATCTTTCAGTTAAGGAAGATACAACCACTCTTTACGAAGGAAGTAAAAGAAGGTTATGCCAGGATCGCCACTGGCCTCTATTCTGAGCCATATCTGATAACTTCTCTAGCCACTATGTTGCACCATCTCTAGAACCCTAACCAGGGAATCATGAAGGGCTAACACAAGCCAGCCCTTTGCAGCTTTCTTTCATACCACGACACCATCTCATACACTGACCACCTCTCCGCATTTTCCAACGGGACCCAGTGTCAGCAAATAATGCACGACGTGGATTTGTCTAGGATGACATTCGTAGAACATGTCCAAGCCACCGAAGTCGATGTTTCAAGATGGTGACACCAATTGGATTGTCGTCTTTGTGCCCGAACACAGGATGCCGAACCTCTGCATTACTAACATGGTGTTGCCACTGGATGTCAGCAATCCTTCGGAGACAGCGATGATCGAACACAGAGTCGTCTAACATCCTCAACTCGAAGAGGCCAGGTTTCACAAGCATAGCGCGAAACTGCTCTCACCGACGCGTTGTAGATCCGACCTTTTACAGCGAGACTGACATCACGAAGGCGCCAAAGATGGCCCAGATTGGCATAAGCCGCTCTGGCTTTCACTATACGTGCATTGATCCCATCACTCACACCACCACCAGCACTTATGCAGCTACCCAGATACACGAACTTCTCGACTGCTTCTATCTGCTCACCGTCCAGAGTGAGTACAGGATTAGAATCCTGCCAGTCTTGTAGAAGTACTTTGCATTTTGAAGGTACAAAGCACATGCCATACCTGTTTCCAGAATGTCATCGATGGCCAAGTTGAAGAGGAATGGTGAGATTGGGCAACCTTGACTAACCCCACTGCTTGAATGGAACAATGGAGTGAGGTGGTTGTATGCCCTCACTCTGCCTGAGGTGTTTGTATATAGGGCTTTCAGGATGTTAATAAACTTCTCAGGCACACCCTTCTTCAATAGACAATCCCAGAGAACAGTTCTGTCCAACGAATCGAAGGCAGCCCTGATATCAAGAAACACTACGATTGTTGGCCTTTGATAAGTATGACGGTGTTCTAACATTTGGCGGAGAGTGAAGATATGATCAATACATCTTCGACCGGAACGAAAGCCAGCCTGCTCCTCACGAGTCAATCTTTCTCGGGTTTTGAACAATCTACGAAGTATGACGGAAGCCAATAGTTTGGACGCAATCGGAAGTAGACTTATCCCCCGATAGTTGTTACAGGAACAACGTGAACCCTTTTTAAAGATAGGGACAACTATCGACTCATTCCATGACGTTGGTACACACTCTAGTTCCCAGACCTTTGTAAACAACGTCGTCAGTCCCTTAGTCAGAAAGTCACCACCATCTTTATAAAGAGCCGGAGGTAAGTATTTTGGACCCGGTAATTTGTAGCGCTTCAAGAGTTGGAGTTCGTTGTGGACTTTCGCCTCATTTGGTAGACCAGTCGTCACGGGCCATGAAAGGCGGGACAGTCTGGTCGATGTTGCCGGGGCAGCAGACCAGTTGAACCGCTCCTTGAAAAACTGCCCGTCGTCCAAGACGTCGATAGGTGTTAGTGAGTAACATCCCGCCACCACAGATTGTTTCGCTTACACCAGACTTCTTGCTGCCAGTGGCTCGGATGAGTTGGAAGAGCTTCCGGTAGTTACCAGATGCAGCTACTGCTTCCAGTTCATTGGCACGCTCCGACCACCAGGCTTCTCGATCCTTACGCAAGCTTTGTCCAATTTCAGTACGTAACAGTCTTCGTTTGTGTTTAAACTAACGGTCACCCGGAGTAGACTGACGGGCCTCAATGAGTTGTAAGGAGCCTGAAGAAACCCAATGCTTGTAAGCGGGACGTTTCACGAACCCACAACTGACTTTACCCGCCATGGCGTCGTGCAATTGCAACCAATGCTCATCTATGCTTTTCGGTGGAATGGTAGCTAGCCTAGAAGCTAGCTCGGTTCGATACTTACTAGCAACAGAAGTTGAAACCGACTTGCTATTATCAATCCTTTGGTGGCGGTCACTTCGTTGGCCACTGAAAAGTAAGGTAAGATTGGCGCAGACCAGGGTGTGGTCAGATTCCAGATAGGTACTTCAAAAGGAGCGGCAGTCTTGTACACAACCGCGCCAGCGGTAGATGATCGCGATGTGATCAATCTGAGTCCAGGCTTGAGATGCAGAGGGAGGACGCCAGGTAGTACATCGGCGATGTCTGTGCTGATAGTTAGTGCTAGCCAGGAGCAGGTCGTAGTCTTCTCACAGTTGTAGTAGATGTTCACCGTTATCTGACCTGCAACCAACAAGGCCCCATCAGCCACCTAGGCGACTCTTTTGTGCCTAGACGCCCCAGCTGAGCTGAACAGATAACTGGTGGTAAAATTCATCCTTGATTGCATCCGGGCTGCCATCTGTCGGAGCATAGGCGGAGATGACGAGAAGACATCGTTTCTCACGCCGATTTCTTCTCACATTGATGGAACTTTCTAATCTAACAGCACATAACCGACTGTTAGTGGGGATCCAATCAATTAGTGCTGTCTCAGCTCTAGCACTTAGTGAGACACGAACGCCAGCAAGACCAGACGAAGATGCCACTGGGTCCCCGGATAAACGCACATAAAACAAGCTTTTTGAAGCTACAGATGGAGAGCGGATTTGTGGTACTTCACCTGAGTCTTGAATACGGGTCTCGGATAGACAACACACGTCAATATTAAGTCTTTCCAAAGACATAGCCAGCCCTATCTGTTGTCCGACCTGCATAAGTGTGCGGACGTTGAAGGCAGCCAGTTTGAATGGTGCACGTGGTTTCAGAAAAACTGCTTCAGTACTCGTATTCTGTGGTAACATACAATTTTCAACCAGGCAGTGACTCGAGAACGTTTAGATAGAGCCGAATTTCCACTATAGGCGAGCTGCTGTGTAAGTCTAAAAATAAGTATACACAGATTGGGAATAAAATCGAGTGAATAAATGACGCAGTAAATAATAATAATGTGAGTTGTTTGATTGTAAATCGAAGCGAGAATAGAATTTTCAGTAAATATCATCATTTTCATTTTAATTGTGTGTGGGCTGTGATACTGCCCGGTTGCCTAAACCGAAGCAGGTGGTTTTCTTAGGGGCCACACCCCGAGCCTTTGACCTGAAGGTCTAGCCCACAAGGCAGTGGAGCATCGTGAGGAGATGCAGTCCCGTAGTAGCTGGTGACGAAAAAATTGGTCCATACACCATTTGTTCCCTCAGGATACTGGAGCCCATGTGCATCATTGATTTGGAATCAGGCTAAGCGCCGGACACTCGCCTTTCGTCCTCTCATTTTCGTAAACAACACCCCCACCAAGAGAAGGCATTGAGTAGGACTTCCCTGGCAGAGGTTTTATACGCGTGGCCGTGTGAGAGTATTTCGAGAGGGAGGGCGAGTCCACCCCGCTCTCAGCCATATCAGGGCATTTGATATAAACTAGCCGTTTGAAAACAGTATTCTTGGTTAGGTTTCATATAAGTGAGGCGTAAAATGCTAAGCATATCTTTACCAATGTATTTCTTCATAAACCCTAAGTAGGCCGACACATCAAATGCCTTACTGAAGTCTATGAATATGGCATCGACAAGCACGGCATTATTTTGGGCTACTATTCATTCTTCCGCAATTAATTGATTAGTTAAGCACGAATTTCACGAAGTTTCTGTTGCTGTGGAGTCAACATGTAGGATTCGTCATGACTAAATAACTTACCGTAAATTATTTTTTTCAATACCTCAAATGCTATGCTAGATTGACAGGTTGGTAGTTGTACACAGTCTCTTTTCATACTTATAGTGCTTATGATAAAATCTTTCCAATCCCTTCGTGAGTTAAGTTCGAAAAATGGACGTATTGACAAGGGTATGTGTGGTGCTGAAGTAACGTCAGTGAGAGACGACAACAGATTCCTAACCAGAATAAATGTGCCCCTGGTACACCCAGTTCATCCCACTCTAGCTCAGTTCGACAGACCAAAACGACCCCCCCTGCTCCTTGCTAGTACCACCACTCTGAATCATAGTCGTGTCAGCTGCTGAGAGAGTGTTAATTCAAGTTCAGAAGGATCCATATTTCCGAAACCACCGTCACCAAATTTGCTAGGTTTGAAGTTATTACGAGTTCACTTAATATGCGAACGGGAACAAAGACTTGTGACCGAAAACCAATAAGCTAGATATTCTGATGCATCCCAGCCTCGCTAACTAGAGGAAGAAGTCTAAGCTTGAAATGGGGAAGTCTATTCTGCAAACAACCAGAAACAAGCGATAACAACAAACACAAATCAAAACGTATATATACAGCACAAAACCGTCCTTGGGGAGAGTTACCAAATAGCATACTAAAAGTCGCAACGGAACAATAACATTTAAGATATTTCCCGACTGGGAAATACGACATGAAGGTGACAAGAGCGCTTTTGGCGCGAAAACAAAGAAATTCAAATTTTCTAAATAAAATTACAAAATTAGATCCTTTCCCAGGTGAGTTCTGAGGATCTAATGTCCCTAACATTTTGTATTGTGTTGGTCATTGTTTTGTCTGGGGAACTGATCATCAGTGAGAATTCATATTACAAGTTTCCGATCTTACATATAAAATACAACGTTTAGCTGTCTTGTTTCAGAGAGGTAATGAAGCGGCATATCTTTGTTTTGAATGTTGGAATTTCATATCCACTTTTTTTATAAAAAAAACTGTTGAAACTTTATGATGACCTCGGAGATGATTAGTCCCAACTGATGCATTGAGATTGAACATATTAACATACAAATCTTTAGTCAAGTTATGGAGTACCGATATAAGGTCACCTCTCATTCTACAATAAGAGGAAAAATTGTCATAGTTTTAAAGAAAGCAAGAACAAAGGTTGGTGCAGAATAATATGAATTCATTTTATTTCGTTAGGTTCTCATCAGCTGCTTACAACCTAAAATATTTGAAATCCAACGTTATTACAGATATTGAAATATATCAGAGGGTGATGAAGGATGAGCATGAGGTAGCAAAAATGCTTTTAGAGATAATGACGTTTTAAAATTTGTTTCGTATATATATAGTTTGGGAGGGAAGGTTCCATAACATAGAAATAGTGATTATAACTCATGGAATTAAAACACATTAGATGATTATGTAATGAAGTAACTGAAAAGATTAATGGTAATAAAGAGAGATATGAATTGAAATCAGTTATGAATGATGTAATTATAAAATTTTGGAAAGAGTTGGAATGACGTAATAAATAAAAGAGGGGTTAATGTTACTAGGGCGAAGAAAGATTTATTACTGTTTCTTTTTGTATACAAAGATTTGGTTTTAAACGTTTGATTGCTATCGCTTCGGCAAATTTAAAAAGGTTGGAATTTGATTGTTTGTTGATCACCTTAAAGGACTTCAGTATATCGATTTCGTGCCCTGTGTCAAGGAGATGCCTTGCGATAGCGCTGCTGAATGTTCATGTCTCTGTAAGGTTCTAGCTTTGGGGTTACAAGAATAGTTTAGGAACAGAATATACCTTTCCATTAGCAAGCCTTATCAGGTTTGGTTAACATTACTCTTAAAAGGAAGTTTTTAATTCATCTGTTTAACTATATATGGTAAACATTTGTTTCATTTCAATAGCTTAACTTTGAATGATGTTTAAGGCTTTTCTAGGCTTATAATACTTGTGACTTAAGTCAATATTGAGACAATTCGCACTGGATGTACATATGCCAAGAAGAGATTGATTAAGTTTAGTCCTGAACATCAATGTGAAGATTTACAAAACATTGGAAAAATGACTTAAGTTATTGAATTATATCTCCTGTTTTCACTAGACACATGAAACTTGAAATGATATTTCAATAAAGTAATCTCTATACATCATTATTTTTTTTAATTTAATCTCTTAAAGTAGTAATAACTTTATAATATTTATTAAAGCAATTAAAATCATGTTAGGTAATGAGATCCCTAGTGTAAACAATACCTCGTATATGCAGTTCTCTTCCACTAAATGAACAAAAATATGATATCATAGATAGATTTATTTTATTTAAACACAAAAATTAGTACAAGGACCCACCAAATATATATACGTCACACTTCTTCGTACTACTCGAACACCCAAACCGAAACAAGGGTTTCTTGAGGGTGACCACTTCCCGTTCGATACCCTAGATGAATCTTCCATGTCTGTGTGCTAATGTGGTATGGAAACTCAAACGGATGTACATATGTGCGACGTTCTACTTTGTTACTGACCGATCTTCCATGTCCACCATATATCGAACATTGAAAAAGCACAACTTTCTTCCTATTCAACTCAGGTGACAACAATCTAAATCTTTCATCGTTTTAGTTTGACATAAATCTAAGTTTTACATAAACATACATTTATTTTTAACAAGTATTTCTTAATTTATTTTTCCTCATACTGAATTGTTATCCATGTCTTCACATACTAGCAATTTCAAATTCATGTACTATAAATAGTTCTATTGTATCGATTTGTAGGTATCAATGCCAAGATTGGACTTGATAATTTCAAATAAGTTAATAATAAATATATTTTTTGTGATATATTAATGAGTAGGAAAATTGTACTTCTGACGTTCAGTTTGACTATCTGGTTGGGATCCGCGAGATGATAACAACCGATGGTTAGAGACCTTGAATGACATGACTGAAAATCATTTGCAATGGAGCAGGTGTATCCACTCATTGTGTCCTCCCAAATCCTAATCTCCTGAAGTCTTCATGTCCCTTTTCTTTTTCTCTTTCCAAATTTGTTTCACTGTATTATACTCCTTGAATAACATCTTCAAACTGTAATGTTTCCGATCATTGTTTATACTCTTACTAACTCTACCACTATGGGATTTGAATCGACAACTGTATCTCTGTGCTAATGTGGTATGGCAACTCGAACTGATGTATGTACGTACGAAGTTCTACGTTGTTACTGACTGATTGATAGAGATTTATTGTGTAATCAATAGACAAATGAGTGATCAATTCTACTACAGTTCGTCTTATGTTGTGGTGATCCAGAAAATTTCTCGCAAAAGACAAGCAAGGATCTGGAAACATTAAGAAGCATTCCATTCAATCAGCGTTCACTTGAAGTTTCAGCCAGAAACATCAAGGAAGTGAAAACGTCACATGCAGAGGTTCTGGTTAGCTGATTGTTATACTGCTACTATGTTTAGTAGCATTCCGGGATTTTCGGGAAACCCAAGGACATTTAAAATATTATAAAAACCCTATCTTTTCTGTATTGGAATGAACCTTGGAGTAAAGTACTTTTCGCATACTTGTGCCTTCTCTCTCGTGTTCAGGTCTCTGTATAGTTCTAGCTTGGGGTTTTCAAGAATAGCTTAGGAATCGAGTATAGCGTTCAAATTGCAAGACTTATCATCTTACACTTAAACATTTGATTAAATCTTTATAAAAAAAGAGATAGATGGAACATTATTGAATTGTAATTAATGAAATTATTTTTAGTTATAAATTTCTTGTAAAGAAAATATTTATTAATTATTTATATATTATGGTATTTACTTGTTGTCTTCTTCATCCCTGCTCATACTCTGTGTATTTTTGTTTACTCTTTTCTTTCTGTCTTTTGCTTGCTCACTCACTCACTCACTCTCGTTCTATATCATCGATACAAATATGATGTTGATATTAATTTTATCTTCTTCATATCAGATTCGTTGTTCAATTATTTTGTCGTATCAATTCGGATAATACATGTGTTATTAGTGAATTGAATGGATTCAATTCAATTAAATTATTATCAATGACATCATCAGCAGCAACAGGAACAGCAGCATTATCATCGACAATTATTCCTAATAAAACTGACTATACCATTACTACTATTAATAGTAATTATTCTACCGTAACTACAACTTCGACTACTATGAATACTACTACTACTACCATGACAACTACTTTAACAAGTATTAAATTCATTAATTTAAAACAATTATGGAATTTTATTTTATGTTCAAATAAAATAGTTTATCAAAAAATATGCAAATTATTATTACAATTATATACTAATTATAGTTCTACTATAAATTTGAATAAACGTAAAGAATTATGCTTTAATATTATGAAATTATGTTATACACATATTAAAACAGATTATAATCAGGTATGTATTTTAGATTTTCTTTTTTCCTCCCTTTTTTTCTTTTAATTGTTAAATTAATTATTGTAATGTTATTTATTGAGTTTAAATTTTGTGGTAATGTTTATGTCCTCTACTTGATTACTGTTAAATATGTTATACGATTAATTACAATCGAAGGTGTCGAACCCCATAGTCGCAAATCAGAAGACAAAACAAGTACTTACTTACTTATTTACGCATGTTACTCCTCGTGAAGGAGCATAGGCCGCCCACCAACACTCTTCATCCAACCCTATCCTGGGCAATCCTTTCCAGCTCTTTCCAGTTGTTATTCATTCTTTTCATATCTGCTTCTATTTCCCGATGTAATGAGTTCTTTGGCCTTCCTCTTTTCCGCTTTCATTTAGTATTCCAAGTTAGCTCTTGCAGTTTGATGATTACCTCAATATATGCCCTATCCATTTCCATTGTCTTTTCCTAATTTCCTCTTCAACTAAAAGCTGGTTTGTTCTTTCCCGCAGTAGGTTGTGGCTCATGGTATCCAGTCAACGGATATTGAGTATCCTACGTATACAACTATTTATAAATACCTGTACCTTTTTGGTGATGGCTGTGATAGTTCTCCACGTTTCAGCTCCGTACAGCATAACTGTCTTGACGTTCGTATTGAAGATTGTGATTTTGATATTGGTTGAAAGACAGTTGTTCTTGCCTTCACGCCTGTATCTGATCCTCCTTGTTCGTCGATGATGCTTCCTAGGTACGTGAAGGATTCTACATCTCCCAGAGTTTCTCCATCAAACTTGATTGGGTTAGTTTTTTCTGTGTTGTATTTGAGGATCTTGGTTTCTCATTTGTGTGTTGAGGCCTACTGATGCAGAAGCTGCTGCTACACTAGTTGTCTTCATCTGCACTTGTTCGTGTGTATGGGATAGGAGGGCTAGGTCATCTGCGAAGTCCAAATCGTCTAATTGGTTCTGAACTGTCCATTGTATGCCGTGTTGTCCCTCAGATGTCAAGGTCTTCATAATCCAGTCGACCACCAGAAGAAAGAGAAAGGGGGAGAGTAGACAGTCTTGCTTGACTCCGGTCCTTACTTGAAATGCATCTGTCAGCTGTCCTCCATGCACGACTTTGCACTGTACATAAGAAGTAGGGGGATTGGTTATTGGATAAGAATCAGAAATGTACAGAAAAACATGGGTATTTATAGTTATTCACGTTGTTTATAATATTAGTATAATTCAGCCAATCCTCAAGAAGGCAAGTTATGCTATCGTCTAACCATAGCATGCCACGTTGATGTTTCAAAAAGTTCTATCATGCTGTGATTAGATGGAAACCCTTCAACTTCTTTTAGAGTCTCTGAAGGCTTCATCGTACTTCTCGAAGGCATCCCAACAGTAACTAATAGTCTATCGCATTCAGCTTTAAATTATTAAGTCTTCAATTTGAAGTAAATCGTTTTTTATTTCGGTTGTAACAAATGATTAGTATCACCAGTCATAGCATTACTAATATGTGTTTTTCAGATTTAATTACGTAAAATTTGCTGTTAATAAATATGTTATAGTGTATTAAATCAATGAGTTTATTCAGTTTGATAACATTCAATGGCTAAGAACATCGGAAGTTTGTTTATATTTGAATGCTTTATTAAACTTAATTTAACAAAGGGATTCGAGCGGCAATGATGTCATTTATGAAGTTATTGTTGATTTTTCATCTCATAATCATCTATATCTTTACTGATATGAATCTGTATGACAATCATCACCCACGATTTAGCATTTTTCGATTGCATAGCTTCGAATCGGTTGTAGTGGCACAGTTTTATTCAATTTCTAATTCTCATATATTCCATTTTTCGATCTCATTTAATTCTATTTGAACTATGTTCCCCTTGCTCAGCTTTCCATTGTAGTTCCCTATGACTGACAGATTGAATATATCAATTTTCCCATTCTTGTTAAATGAATTATTGTAGACCATCCCTTTTGCTAGACTACTCTCATTGCTAAAAGTGAACAACTATTTCATTCGTTTCATGACTTAATGAGTGAATATCAATCAAATACTCTGATCAGTTATTGATTTCTTGATTACTCTATTTATCAAAGCTATTGAGCGGTTTGCATGTATTATTGCCCTTGTGAAACCTGAATGTCCTGGATACAATCTCGTTTGGAGTTGTGGCCACCCACTGCCGACCGCTTCCAATATACTTGAATTAACATGAGTAATTAAACTAGTTATGTACGAGTCTACATCTTTATCATTTGACTCACCGAAGTAATAACACAATGATCAATAACATGTCGATTACTCTAAAGACTCAGGAATCGAGATGATAAATACCGTTTAGGAAATATGTTTATTGCAACAACTTGTGATGGATATCATGCTAAACATTTGAGTATTTCTAGTAATAATTTAGGTAGTTTTATTGGTCAACCAAAAATTAAAATTGTGTATCTTAGGCGTATTTAAGTTTTCTGACGCCCTCTAACAAATATGAAAATAAAAATTTAAAAATTATTTTCTGGCTGACTAAGGTCTAATTTTCGTCAGACAACCACTAAAAGTAAACAAGAACTAGACTGCTGATATATCCTTGTATATAGTTCTTCAGCAATACCCACCCACTACCATACTGAATATTGGACCTAGGACTCTAAAATCTCTCAACAATCATAAATCACTAGAAATCTGGGAATTTCCTTTTGAAATGAATCACTAGTGGACCATATGAACACTACTATTATGCCGGGGTTACATTTTCATCACGAATCGAACTTGGTTTATTTCTTAAATGAAATTTCCATTCTTTTCACTGTCTAAAAATGCCCAACCACCGACTGCCCCGACGTGCGATGTTTTATGGTGTAGGAGTAGGTTGGAAGAAAGCTAGGGGCGGCCAGACCAAAACATGGCACAAATCCATGAAGTCTCTAACAAGTGGACTGAGCCATGTTGGCAGTTTTAGACTGCCTGGTTGGGTAACACGAGATGATAGCAACCGATGGTTAGAGACCTTGAATGACATGACTGAAAATCATTTGCAATAGAGCAGGTGTATCCACTCATTGTGTCCTCCCAAATCCTAATCTCCTGAAGTCTTCATGTCCCTTTTCTTTTTCTCTTTCCAAATTTGTTTCACTGTATTATACTCCTTGAATAACATCTTCAAACTGTAATGTTTCCGATCATTGTTTATACTCTTACTAACTCTACCACTATGGGATTTGAATCGACAACTGTATCTCTGTGCTAATGTGGTATGGCAACTCGAACTGATGTATGTACGTACGAAGTTCTACGTTGTTACTGAATGACTGACTAAAAATACATCACTAAATTTGTTTTTGTCATTTCTGTCCTTTTATATTCGTTTATAGTTAATTTCTTCTATCGAAAAACAAAAAAATTATGAAACAACAATTTCATCAAAACTGTCACCGTCATCATCATCACCTACCTCATTATCATGTGATCCTGAAATAAAATCAGCTACATTCAAACGTATATTAAGAATTTTAAAATTATTGAAACAATTTACAGTTAGAATGAATTTAGAAATGTTTATTAATGATTCAAGTGATTGTATTCCATTGAAACGGTAAGCTATATGTTTGTTTGTTTAATTGTCCATTAACTCGAAAAGTTCGTTTGGCTTTTTCCAACATACGTCACCTATAGCGAAGGCAAAATATCTGTCTATCAATAAAAGGACGAGTTCGTTGTGTTTTACTTTACGGCTGCGAAACGTGGCCGTTAAGAGTTGAAGTTACTCGTAAGCTCCTAGTATTCGACCACGAATGCCTTAGAAATATTGCTCGCCTCTGCTGGGATCACCGGGTAAGTAATAGTGAAGTTAGACACAGGGTATTAGAGAATGCTGATAAATCATTTGATGAGGTTGTGAATCTTCATCGAGATGGTTGAGCCACGTGTTGCGTATGCCTGAACACCGATTACCATGACGCGGCCAGTTAAAAATTTTTAGGTACAGAATATATTTTTCTAAATTGTTAAATGGATTGTTGCAAGATTCATATTATCTTTTATCTTAGAATAAACTTTAGCCAATGAAGATGAACCATCGAATCACGGTTTTTTCACTATATTGATGTGATACCTGTTATAACGGTTGCGCTTTCACGTTTCCACGTATGGGACGTTAATTTACTTTAGACGAGTGTCTACACTAGATTTCTTTTCCAGTGTGTTTATTCTACAGGTTTTCAACACAACTCAGATCAAGAACACGTCATTAGCCTGGTCACAACGTAAATATATTTCCACACCAAAACCCGACACAACCCAACAATAATGAACAATCAATCAATAAGTGAGTAATAATTATAAGGATAGGAGAACGTATAACTCATCAGACTATCTACATATCTGACTAAACAGACAACCAATCATTATCATCTACTCCCACACATCAATACCAATTTTCTCACATTTGCAGTTTGAAGAGTTTATAAAAGTGAGTGTGTAACAAAATAAGACAGTAATAGGTAATTATGATGCTAATTATAAGCAGAATTGGATGGTAACTTCCAGTGGAATCCACGACGCGCATTTCTTCTCAAATATGACTGATCAACTATAAATACTTACTTCTCAGATTTGACTTTCACTCCTGTATTCGAACTCAATTCCTTTCTCTTTAAACACCAGCGAGTCAATCACGTAGCTACTAAAGTAATCACCGTCTTGTCCAATGGTGTAAATTTTATTTCGTTTGTATTGGTTGAGATCTAATTGACCAATACAAATAGATAACCAAAATTTTAGATGATGTTAATCAAATTGTGAATTTATCAAGGTAAGGTTAAATTGATAACGGTCTTTTTGAGCTTCTGCCTGCCTCAGAGAACTGAAGAGAAATCGCGTTGTTTTTATCTTATTGTAATTGTGATAGATTGAGAAATGTCATCGATATGTCCGGTACCAATTAGATGCCGAGTCATTACACCGTTTAGAGCCTTTGCATTTCTCAGTACCAAATTCTTTTAGCGTGCTCGAAAATGCAAATATGATATGAGATTGCCACACTTTTTATGCCACAATTATATCTTATTGACGAGTTTCAATTAACATGAAACTGATACTTGTTCATTAGATTTCATTACATCTACAAAGAAACCATTGAAGGCTATTTAATATATTTTCTGTAGCGTAATGACTTCATTGAAAGATTTCTGACCTGTAGATCAAGCGTTATTACGTGAGGCTGTAAGTGTTGAGCCCAGTTCCTAAGTGCAGGATCGTACTGAGGAATATCATACTGGGACGAAATAGCCGTCCAGGTCTTCAATGTTGGTGTAGCTAAAATCACTTCGTGATCTAAACTATGATTATTTCTTTTGATATTTTGCTGTCTTTATTTACTTTTTATTTCCATTTTGCAGTTCATGGATTGGTTCATCATTTTTCTTAACAGTCACCTGTCAAGGTTTACCAATTTTATTTCCTACCAATAGTAATAACAACAATATTAGTGCTGATGATGATATTGTTGATAGCAGTAAACAAATTTATTTATCTGATGGTAAGACAGCCACGATTACACTCATTGTACATGGAAATCTGACTTTTGGTGAATTACGTGCTTATCTTTTAAATTTTTGTCTACATGGTTTCACATCAAGTAACAATTCCAATGATAACGGTAGTAATGGTGGTGTTAGAGATACCAGTGGTGGTGGTAGTAGCAGTAGTAGTAGTGGTATTCAATGTCAAGATAATAATAATATTCCACATTCAATGACAAATTCAATGTATCAGTTAGAATTACGTATAATAAATGTGGAACAGACAAATTCAAATGATTGTATATTACATCATAATATTGATAATGAATTGTTGGTGAATTTATTTCTGTTCTTTCCAAATTGGACTAAGAATTTCTTAGACAATCGTGATCATATAAATAATGATGTTCCGTTTGTTCAGTAAGTGATTATGATTATGTATTATTAGTGGTCTGTTTTCCTTCGTTGTTGTCGAGGTGGTCAACATCATATTTTTTTAAGGAATTTCTGTTTAAATCAGTTAACATTATATCAAATCATCCTATATTTCTCGTCCTCTGCTCTCTCGTCGAGCTTTTTTATCATGTTTTTTCGCTTAGTCTGTTCTTTTTCTACTGATATCAAGTACGAAAAACTGTTTTGCAATGCCTTCTTCGTATATTAAACGTGTGTATCAACGCAATCTGGTTAGTGAAACAGTTGACATTTTAACCCGTTTACTTATTTTGGAATTTAGGTTAGTTTTGGTAGATTGATGACTGATCAGATTTTAATCTGGAGACGAGAAACCAGTTCACTCCACTCGTGGCATAAATGAGATTTCTGTCCATGCATGAAAAATGGAGCATACTAGTTAAAAATTTACCCTTCGTTTTCTGGTGACTGTGAATTGTACTTTTTGTAGGTATAAGAGTTGCGTTGTTTGCTATTATTTGATAATATGTGTTTTCGAGACATTCTTTTTGTATAATAAAGTCAACTGTACTGTGGTTTGACGTAAGTTACAAGTTAAAAACAGTCAATCGGTTGAAGCTATTTGTTATATGTTGGGACGCGCAGATTGGAGGGCAGTGAATTGTCGATCGGACCAAAGACGCCTAACACACGTAAGAACAGCCTAGAGTTCTGATTGGTCCTGCTTCCCTGTCTAGCCCAGCCAGTTGAGTCCAGAACACAAGTCTCAGCCTCTGTGATATGAATCATTATATTTCAGACATACTCTGTTTATATACCAACCAAACAGACTACATCGTACCATAAAATAGAAAGTAACATTTGTACAAGATTTGACCCCCAGGAAATGACACGAATAAATATTGACCAACGGGAAAATGACACGTTGGATGAATATTGACCAATGGGGAAATGACATCATTTCACGTTCAGGGATAGCATTAGACTTAACAGAATAATTTTTGGGATATTTTTCTGAATATCCCAACACTATTAACCTATCAGTTTTGGTAACGAAAAAGGTGCCACTCTTAACTTGCCATCGCACACCTTAACGTTATATTCTGGTCATCAATAACAGATAGATAGAAAAATGATACTATGTGCACAGAGTTAATGGAAAACGGATGTTCTTTACTGTCTTTGTTATACTTAAGGAAACACAGATTATGTGAATATTGAGGCTTCTGTCAATTCTGTGATCAATGTTCATTGAATGCAGAAAAAACCGAAATGACATTGAACAATACTTCAAAAATACACCAATGATCTACCTTATCATTAAGTTGAACTAATTAATGAACTTATTTGCTAATAGTTGTGGTAATCAATTAATACTATTCGCTCGTATAAAGTATTTACATTGAATCCCTTTTGAAACATCAATGGTATTCTCTGGGTTTTTGTTTATTTCATTTTCCAACCTTGTTATAATTATTTACCTAATTATTTTTGTAGTCTGGAATTGTCCGCAAAATTAATGTTTACCAGTAACGAATTATCATCGTCCACTACTGAATCATCAACTACAACACCTGGCTCTTTACAATTTTCTTCTTATTATATTAAAGTGTTTGATAATATTGAAGTCAATGCAACACAACAAAGTAGTAATGATATTGCCCTAGGCTGTCTTCATACTAATGACAATACTACTACTACTGCCACTATAAGTAATAATAATAATTTTCTGGAAGACGACGATCACTTACTGTCATCAGAATTAAAGATATTTGATTCGATAATTGATCGGAATCTTGAACAAGAACAACTTCCAAATATTAACAATAGTGATAATAATGATAGTAAATGTGATAGTTTATTGATAGATAGTAAATTGAAGGTAGACGACTCTGATGCATTAAAGTGCAATCAACAGTTGGATGTTGATCGTGAAGGCGAATTCAGTAAGTTGACGTTTTACTACTAGTCAATTACTATTTTTTATTATCTATATATTGTATACGTTAATTTTTCCAAGAGCAATAAGTATGTTATAATACACAAACTAAACAAGTGAAATTTTGAGAATTATTGTCTTCGTATAACTTTCAATAAGTACTGTTTTCAAATAAATCAATACGACCGTAATAGATTGATTGCATCAAATAATCATAAAACTCTTCAGAAAAAAAAAGGATATGTTTTTCCATCGTGCCTCAAGTTTTATGAAACCTTGAAGAGGAACACGTGAAGAAAAATACTGATTAATTCAATAACAGAATAGATTATCTTATGTAATTATTCAGAAATTGTAGCACAATGGGATTTTCAAGTGTCGTAATATGGCATCATGAACGATGCCATCTTATCCATATGTGTACGTCATCATGAAGGACAACAATCTTTTGCGTAGCTCGATTTCAATAATTCTTGAGATTGAAATGATAAACAAGATTTGTTTTTAGCTCAGAAGGCTAATTTTAATGGAGTTTTGTTCTTTGAACTTGAGTAGTTTAATTGTAAAACATTGTTCTCTCTCTGGGTAACGTTGTCAACATAACCGGCGAATTACAGGTGGGCTATTCAGAGGTATCCACTTGTTTTATCAACATTAAATGCACTTGAGTTTTTGTAAGTATCTGTTCTATCATTATCTCCATAAAAATATCGATCGTATTTCACCTTCTTCACCTTTTTCATTCGGAATTGTCAGCAGTTTCATAGTTGTAGCGTTTTCCGAAAACTGACAATTTAAAACGACTATTGGAATGAAGTAAAATTGTGTGCCTATTTATATACTGTTGATTACATTAACTATAAGCCGTTAATAATATTGCTTGCCCAAAAGCCGCGTTGTTGATATAAATCACTTCTCCTGTCAATAAAGGGAGAGTCATTCCTTTAATGTATACAAACTTGTATATAGAACAGTGTGATATCGAGAGTCAATCAGAAGTAACCTAATGAGGAGGTCAACCGATGGCAATTAGATGTGACCTAAAGGACAACTGCATTTGATTGGGTAGTAAAAGGATCGATTTCCTATGGATTAGAGTGGTATATATATGAATGAGTATTTGTGCATTTTATTCGGTAGCCCAATACACTTGCTCGCTCGTGTTGTCAGTTTTTTTTTGGAAGGGGCTTAGCGCGTAGCACACCGTGTATCAGTATCAAATTTTGGACACCTCCCGTAACAACACAATGAAAGTATAAATAAACATACATAAAACTTATTTAAATAAGTTTTTTTCACGATATGGGATTTCATACGTCATCACCCCACTAAGCAATGAAATTGACATGTTTATTTATCAACAGATTTAGTTCTTAGTTATTCTGTATATTTAGGTGTACGTCTGAAATCTTTAACTAGATTTTAAAACGAGAAAAATTCATTCCCTATGCTCAGGATATTGTTAAAATTGTTCGACCACTTAATAGGTGAACTATTCATTCTGAAATTCACCTCTCTAAAGTATGCACACCTATGGAAATTAATTATGAAAAATATGAAGGAGAAACATCCTTAACAGACCAAATACAATGTTCAGAAGAAAACGGTGTTAGTAGGTCTTCAGTTTAAAGAGAACATTGCTGATTGTAGGCTTAAGAACTGTCTAGACACATATCTTCATACAAACTGCTACAGTTGTCGTTTTATATCCTCGTGTGAATAATATGTTACTACGACTGATTAGTTCAACGTACATATACCAGTTCTCCTGTTTCTATAAATATATGTGTGTAAGTTGTTCGTTAAGATCACATGTCCATTCCGTTCCGGAGTATCTATCAGTATGGTTCGGAGAAAGTCAACACAAGTCATTTACATCACTTATTCCCTAACATGTAGAAACAGTACACTTAGGTGGAAATTCTATGTATCAAATACAACCTATACTCGTATTATTTAAGATATACATTCCACAATTACACAAAAATAATTATCTGTCTCCGAAAATATCTCTACTCCTTTTTTATTTCCTTTTTTTATTGGTTTATAGTTTTAAATACTGATCAACGTATTGAATTCTTATTAAATTTGGGCAGGATTGCATTAGCTTTAAATCATTCCAATATATTTCATAGTATTATGCAATTACTCAATTGTATGCCATTGCATAAAAAACTAATTAAATTTATTAAAGATAATTTAATCCAGTTAGTTGATATGAAAATTATTGGACGTTGCAATGAACTGTCTACTGAACGTAAGTTCTGCTTCTTTTTTTACAAGATTTATTTAGTGGTAGTAGGAGTAGTAATGTGGTTATATCGTACCTTAATCGACTAAGCAGGGACTTTTCGCATCACTGTTTTTTTCTCTTCTAAACCGCACTCGAAATGCCATAATGGAGCGATTCTCAAGAACTTCACTATTTGAACATATACGTAATTAATTAATTATTTTGTTTTTAGTTTTTTGAGAAAGTTGTTAATTATATGCTGTGAAAAGTAGACTTTGTTGACGAAATATCCACTAAAACAGTCATATATCTTGTAAGGCACAGGCGAATTATCTGTCTTTCAACCACAGGACGAATTTATGGCTTGACAGTTCTCTCCGTCCCTCTTTATGATTGTGAAACATGGCCATTAAGAATAGAGGGTATTCATAGGATATTGGTATTCGATCATAGGTGCCTACAACGCATTGCTTGTGTATGTTGTTACCACGGTGTAAGCAATGTTTGGGTTAGGAATAGGATATTAGGTAAAAATGGGAAATCGATTGATGAGATGGTAAATATTTGTCAACTGAGGTGGTTAGGACGTGTGTTGAGTGTGCCCAACCACTGCCTACCTCAATGGCGATGTCCTTTGGTGTAGAAGTAGATTAGATGAAAGCTAGGGATGGTTAAACGAAAACATAGGATCAGTCCATGAAGTCATTGACCTTTGGAGTGAGCCATGTTAATGGGTGTAGATTACCTGGTTGATGTGTTGGGGTATTCAGAAAATACCCCAGAAATTATCTAATGCTATTCCTGAATGAGAAATGGTGTCATTTCCCCATTGGTCAATATTCATCCAACGTGTCATTTTCCCGTTGGTCAATATTTATTCGTGTCATTTCCTGGGGGTCAAATCTTGTACAAATGTTACTTTCTATTTTATGGTACGATGTAGTCTGTTTGGTTGGTATATAAACAGAGTATGTCTGAAATATAATGATTCATATCACAGAGGCTGAGACTTGTGTTCTGGACTCAACTGGCTGGGCTAGACAGGGAAGCAGGACCAATCAGAACTCTAGGCTGTTCTTACGTGTGTTAGGCGTCTTTGGTCCGATCGATAACTCACTGTCCTCTCCAATCCGCGTACGTCTCAACATATAACAATTAACGGGTCACACAAGTTATATCATGATGTCCGCGTGATTATCGTAACTAATGGACATGGCGCAAAAACATCCGCAATGATGCCGGTGCATCGTTCTTTTTCTTCCCCAAACTCTGAATTTCTCAACTTTTTTCGTTTTATGTTTCACTGATTTATGTTTTGCTGTCGAGTCGTATCTTCGATATTTTGATTCTTTTACTAACTCTAATACTCATGTATTTGGCCTGACAATTTCATCACTTTGTGTAAATGGGGTATGTGAACTTGAACCAATATACATACGTACCAGATTCCATGTTCTAGCTGAATGGATAACTGGAATCTTGTAAGCATAGGGTTGTCATGAATATGTATTGCAATTGTGATAACATTTCTTTCTTTCTTCACTTCCATGACATTTGGAAACTCTCAACAGAATTTATCCACATATTAAAACAGTATCCAGGTTTAATCAACATTTAACGAGTAAATATTGAGAATGTTTATGTTAAAGTCTCTAAACAACGATGTACTTTTATTCATATTTATTCTTTCTGCTATCATATCTCTCTGTTTACCACTTAATGTAATTTATTTATGAATTCTATGTTAATCACTTTTTGCTTCTTCGGAGGTCATAGATAGAGGAGAAAGATAATATGCTGACTGTTGTTGTTGTGGTGGTTTCTTAGTTATTCTTTTTACAATTGATTTCGAGCATTCGATCTAACCTCATGAGTACACAAAACTGACAAATCTAATGTAGAACAAATTCGAAACAAGAATATTTACAGCATATTACGCTCATATGATTTTGAGATAGTAGAGAAGATTTGTAGCTCAGGTGGATGATTTTGATGGAGTTCTGTTCTCTGAGCTGGATGTTTTGGTCGTGGAGCTTTCATCGTTCTTCTGAACGACATCAACACAAACTTCAAATAGAAGTGAAGCGTTCTAATTCCTCACTTATATCAATGCATGTGGACAACTGCGGACACATATTTAATTGGAAAAATGTGGAAATCGTGGATAGAGGAAATTCCAATAACACCAGAGAATTTTTAGAAGCTTTGCACTCAAATCAATCAACAATCACATTGAAATCGATCCAATTTATTAATCAATCAGGAAAATTATGCACAAACATAGGAACAAAAACCGAACCAATGGGGGATACAACCAAAACAAAGAAGTAAACAATGACCGATTTAAGGTCAACAAGAACCAATTAACATCGAGGTCTACAGGAGAAGCTGTGAACAACATGTGGAGAAATTCGAACACTTCATTGCTATGTGAAGTTTGTGCTGATGATGTCGTTCAGAAGAACGATGAAAGCTCCACGACCGAATTATCCAGCTCAGAGAACAAAACTTCATCAAAATATTTACAGCAATAAATCCACTTTCTATAAAATGGAAGCTCAGGGATCTGATTATTCGGTCGTATAAGTAACTTTATTATCAGATACGTTATGAAAGTTGCGCAATTAAAAAATTTTGTTCGTTTTATTATTATTATTGTTAATATGTACATTGTTGTTTATTATTTTGTATTCAGCTCTCTTATCGCAAACATGGTTTCATCATTTACTTACAAAACCAAATGTATCAACTGGAGTATTTAATTTATTTAATAATAAACAAATCAATTTGGAGAATACACCGAATTTTATTGAATTATTGTATACACTACAAGTTTTGTATTGTTTAATGATGCCTAGTTGTTTAGTGAAACATTATCATTTTAATAAACTGAATGGAGAACATAATCAATTTTATAATTCATGTAATAGTAATAATAATATATATAATTGTCAACGCTTTTTTCCTCCTAATACTACTACTACTACTACTACTACTACTACTACTACTACTACTACTACTAATAATAATAATAATAATAATAATAATAATAATAATAGGAATATCAGTAGTAACACTATGCCAAGAATTATCGATTCTACTACAAACGATTTGTTTAATCAAGTTCCACATTGGTCAGATGCTATAACTATTACCGTAAGTATTTTATCAAATAGATTTTTATATATTATGTGCTATGATTTTAGATAATTGATTGGAGTTAGTGATCGATGATAGGTTTTTATGTATGTGGTGCTTAACATGGAAAGTGGATCCTGCAATCTATAAAAAGTTGTAATATTAAAAAGGTGTTATTCAACACCTTTGTCAAAAATCTCGATGTATCTTGCACTCTCTACACGTGCATTAAGTATTAAGATAACACACTTGTTATGTACTCTCTTTATTAGAAACGGAAAGGTATTGCAAGCCAAGTAAGAGTTGTAAAAAATTATCTGAAATTGGGAATATGTACCAATTCAGTGCTAACTCGCTTATTCTTTAAACTAACCCTTCTCAGTTCATTTCTTGCTGTGAATGTGATTGACGATAGTTTCAAACTGAGATGACTAGAGTCTTCCTTAGTTTACAATGATTTTTTATGTGATATCAGCCCACCACTAGTATTATTATCGTCAAATTATATCTTTCAATTATTGAAATAATTGTTTTTTGTTTGTTTATTTTAGCTGCTTCTACTTCGTGGTGGTGCCTTAAACCTACTTCTTTCGTCTCCAATTTTAGTATCCTCCTTCACTCCTACATCATCTTCAAATCATAAAATTATTAACTGTGATAAGAATGAAGGAAAACGTCCTTTATCCTATGATCATTTACTCGATTCCCGTTCTTCTTCTCTCTCGCTTTCATCTTTTGTTAGTATTGTTAATAAAAATGATGACGATCAGATTATTTTCTATGATACAACAATTCATTGGAAACTACTTTATTACATACGTCTATGGCTGTTAAGAATAATTCGTGTATTACTTATTAGTACAGCTAATACACTAGTATTGTACAACCTAGATTCAATATCAGATTATATGTGTAATGTATTCAAAAAGTCATCATTTTATCAGTTATTAATTTCTCTGTCAGTCGCTATGACAGATCCTAGTTCCTGTCGGAATGATTTTTCATCTACTAATTCTTTACAACAAAATCCACGATCATTGTTACAGTCTGTATCAGATAGTAATAGTACTACCACTACTGCAACAAAGATGATAACAGAAAGAAGTAATGCTGGAAATCTTGATGGTACTGCTGATAGTGATGGTGGTGATGTTGGTAATTCAGAGCATAATATGGAATATATTTGGAAATTACTACTTCATACTTATAAATTAACTAGTAGTACAAATCATCCTGTACTAGGTGGAGATTATTTTCTACTTTTACACGCTTTACACGTTGCACAATTGGCGATTGTATCTAATGTAAGTTGCTTATCTCTTCCCATTTCAATGTGTACTTATTTTTGTACTTGGAAATATTTTACGGCAATTCAATAGCATTATCTCAAAGCTCATTAGTTTACTCTTTTTTCAATATTCAATAAAACTAAATTTACGGTATGGAAACTCTAAATGAAGTGTAGGTTATTAGCTTTATTCAATATTATATTTTTGGTAAAATATAGAACGCTCAGCATAAATTATTTCAACAAGTTTCCGTTTCTTACTTCTTGGTCGATACTGACGATTAATATTGAGTGATCGCCATTTAGAAGTTTTCAGTCCAGTCAATCGACATGTAAATAATGTACATTATTCTCTCTCCGATCTCAAGTTCTCATACGAACATTTTAACTATGAAATTTGTTTGAAATTGAACTCGTTATTGCAGATTAGACTGAGATATTTCAATCGATATCCTATGCTAGTTTTCCATTTATTTTTTTATGTAACATTTCTTATTGTATGTATATTCATACATGCAATACTGAAGGGCACATGAATTCCTATTCTCATTTATTATGCTATCAGTACGTTACAATCGGTGTCTGTAGAATATGACCTTTTAAATTAGAAGTCATGCATATATTCCAAGAGTATTTGGTCTTGGGCATCAATTTTGAAGTTACGTTTAATGTACTTTTTAGGAGTTCACTAGACATTACTTCCCTCGACAAGTCCCTGAATAAGAACATAGTTGAACAAACAAAGTTGATTGGAATTAGGAATCTTAATAAGAAAAACGTTAGTATATTTATACTTCTTAGTCAAGGAGTTTCTAAAGTCTCCAATTATCCCCCTTAACACTCATTATAAGCGTTTCAACTTGTTCCAATTCATAACTGACTAGTCGTAATAATTTCAAATCTATGTTAAATTTGTATTGAAATAATCATCTGTCAAATAGAAAACATCAAGTTCATCTCATTGATATATCAACAACTGAAGACGTAATAATGAATTAAATAGATACACATTAAGCTCAATTTCTCAAACCCTTATTTAATCAGTTATTCATAGACAACTTAGAACTTAACCTGTCAAATATAAGTTATTTCGAGTTATGATACCATAATGTAACCAAATAGTTAAAAGTATGGAATGTAGTATTCAATCTGGAATTTAAAGAAAAGTAGGGAATTTATCTATTTCATACTATTCCGATCAATTTTTGAGCTTTTCATCTAAATTTGGTTGTAAATTAACTAGATGATAGTAAGTTACCCTCAGAATATTGTACGAGAATCCGTTGATATAATACAGTTATTAAGTACAGATTCATGCACTGCTTAGATTTAAGCTACACTTTATGTGTAAGCGCTTATGTTATTACCTGGGACCTACTCCAAAATGAGTTGGATTAAGACCTGAATCTTTAAGTTGGAGGTTAAAATTCATACACCCTAACCAGTAAGTCACTACTCGACCAGAAACCAATAGTCTACATCTTTGATGTAAGTGACCAGTCAATATGATAATCAAGCCATGATCCCATAGACTGGTGAATGATGTACATGTCATTTGAGGTGTACTTCTAATAAGCACATCTTAAAAGCTGTTGATTTTTGTGTTTTCATATTCATTCTCAATGCTATTACTCATCAGTTCATCTAGAAATTTACTGTTTTTACATTTATTCTAATGTAATCATTTTTGTTATATCTCTTAGATATCTATAAATGAAGTGAAAAATTACTGGTTTAAAAGTAGTATAAATAATACTTTTGAAAATCTATTGTTAACTGGATGGCAAACAAGATATGGTTGTGAAAATCCAATGGATTATTTAAAAGATTTTAGTATGAAACCTAATCGTATTGATAAACTTTATTTATGTACAGATATAAATAATGTACAAGAGAATAATTTATTAAAAGGTAAGAATTTTATTGAAATGATGAAGAAGATTTATAGCTCAAGTGGATGATTTTGATTGAGCTTTATACTCTGAGCTGGATAGTTTGGTGATGGAGCTTTCATCGTTCTTCTGAACGATATCATCAGCACAAACTTCAAGTATTTTTTTTTGCCTGAAAACTTCAAGACCAAACCATCGAGCTCAGAGAAGAAAACTTCATTAAAATCTTAAGAATTTTATTGTTTTATTTGACATTTATAAAAATGATGTTATATGGTTACCCAAAGTTTACGTTTTTATATATAGAATTCAATGCGTTTTCGTACCTGAAAGTTTTGATCACTTACATCTTAACTTCCTCATAATCCCTAGAAATCCAGAAGGCGATAAGTATGGAAGAAGCTATATTTCAAGGCTAAGTTTATGTATAGAAGACAAAGGTATTCTAGTATTACATATGACCTCTTGTTTCTGGAAGATATACTGAAATTCGTAATGCAGTGGTCAATTGTTTTAGAAGTTTCGAAAGAATACTAATTGGTTTCAGTACTTGCTATCATTTTTTTAAGGCTTTTTCGAGAATTTATCTTGGGCTACTAACAATATCGATTAGAACGATAATATTTTTTTCAGAATCTGTTATTAATAGCTTTATAATGGTTTTAGTCACAGACTAAACTTTGTTAGGAAATCATTAAAAAAACCAGGAAGCGTTGGATAGTTGTTTCACCTTAGATCTACAATCCCACAGGATGTCGATCCTGAGACATATATATGTGTATTCTAGATAAGTTTTTGCTTTAATTTCTTTTCATTTATAGATGAATTGGCTTTAATGAAAAATGAACTGTCAGTTGAATCCTTCTCTCAACTTGTATTAACTGAAAATAGATTTCAAGATATCAATGAAGATATCCTCCCTGTTAATGATAACAAACAAACAGTTACTAATAATCTATCTAATTCAACTCGTTTATCTTCATCGGCTATATCTTTATTATCGTGTGAATCTACGTTGTCATCATCTTCCTCATCGTCAACATTATCTTCTGTTCGCCAGTTACACTCATTATCATCGTCAAGTTCTTCATCTAATAATGAGAATATTAGTGCTGGCAGTAATAATAGTCGTAGTAGTAGTAGTAGTAGTAGTAGTAGTAGTAGTAGTAGTAGTAGTAGTAGTAGAAGTTGTAATGGTAGTAGTAATAATAGTGATTTCAATGATATCGAAGATAGAAATTTGTCAAAATTATTATATTCTAACTTTCATGAACAATGCTTTAATTCTTTTCGAAGTGGTGAAACTCAGGGTTCAGTAATCATAGAAGCATTAAACTGTACTCTATGGTATCAATGTTTGTATCCACAGAGTGAATTTCGTACATTTTTAAAGTACCCTTTATCATATAAAATGTTAGTTTGTTTATCACAGAGTCATTCAACAGTAGATAGTTATCGTAGTTGTCGTGATCGTCGTGGTAGCAATCATCGTAAACATTCACGTCAGTATCGTCGATATCAACCTCCTTCTGTTCTTCAGTCACATTCTTATCTATATGATTACAATTATCAATTAACTGGTGCAGATATGTTACAAGATTTGTTATTTTCCGATTCGTTAATTATTCGCATATCTACAAGATATTGTATGCATACTTTATTAACATTTACTGCTACTGAGAATAGAGATAATGTCTATTATGCATTGGAACAAATGTTCAATTGGTTACCTGTAAGTTGTGTTACATTTAGTTTGTTTATCAACTGTATCTAAATCTACGTATATTAACTTGTTAGTCGGCTAGCTGTCAAAATATCTTCTGTTTTGAAATATTTTTGAGAAAATATTCTGTTGGTCAATAAGAGTATTTGAAAGTGTAGTTTATGCTTCTGATTTATAGTATTGGTAGGTTCAATTATCATTACACCTTAAGGTTTGAATAACCAGTTTAATTGTACTTCTCCCATCTGTGAAACAGATATCTAATAAATGAATTGTTGCATGTTTCCCACTTTACATCATCTTGTCAGAATTATTGAAATCGATTATCTTGGAGTGAGTAATCTTAAGAATACATATGGGGTAATTGGCAGATGTGACAAATCGGTTGACGAGGTAGCGATGGTTCATCGATCGAGATGCTTACGATTTACCATCGCTGACCTCGAAGAGTAGTACATGCTGGTGCAGGAGTTGGTTACAAGGAAGTTAGAACCGACTAAACTAAAACATGGTACCAGTTTATGAAGTCATTAACTATCAGATTGAGTCATGTACGTAGATGCAGACCACTTGTTAGGGCTTTGCGCAATAACCGCGATCACGGGTTGGAGGCAATGAGTGACACAACTTTTAATCGTTCACATTGGCACAAATGCATTCACTTTTTACCTGCCGTCAATTTCGAATTCCGGTATTTCTTCATACAAACCTTTCCAATCTGTCTTTTCAAGTCACATTCCACGGTTTAGTCTACCTTGCTATAATTACTTTTACAGTATTTTTATATCGTGTTATTTTCATCTATTCGTGCTAATGAGACATGACGATTTAAGTCAACGCACATCGTTGCTAGGCTTTATGTTAACGACCTCTGTTAATGTCTCTGTTGAAATGAATTTTCTGAAAACGATTATGAACAAGTTTACATTGTAATTAAGATGATGGAATAGATTTGCATCTCAAGTGGATGCTTTGGTCGTAAAGCTTTAATTGTTTTTCTAACCATACATCATCATCACAAACGTCCGGTTCAAGTGAAGTATTCGAATTACTTCACATATGACATACATTTTCGTGATTATTATGACCAATAGTTGATGAAGTTGGTTGATATAGTCCAAAATCGGTCGAAATAACACAGACGTATTAATTCTTTTTCTTACTCTAGATCCTGGATTCTAAAATTATTTCACACTTGTGAAGTTCATATTGTCAAGTTTGTTTTTCTTTTTGAAATTATATGGATTGTCCTTCTACTAATGCTTTGATATCTATTTCCGTTTGTTGATGATATATTATCGTAGTTTGAATCGATGCACATTTATGCCAAAACCTGAATTGCCTCTGGGTTAACTCGAAGATATTTCGATTAGCTCTCTGGTCAATATCTTGCATATACATTTGCCTTTAAATTACAACCGGCTACTCAAAACACAATACTGAAGTGACGTAAAATTTATTTAAAAAATCTAGAAAAATTTATTTATTTAAACAAACATTGGTACAAGTAGGCATCAAACAGATATGCGTCACATAAATCATTCGATTAGTGTGAGGGCTGGGATACTGCCCGGTTGCCCGAACTGAAGTAGGTAGCTTTCTTAGGAGACCACACCCCGAACCTTTGACCTAAACGTCTAATCCACAAGGCAGTGGAGCAACGTAATAAGATGCAGTAACATGGTAGCCGGTAACCAACATTTAATTCATACGCCATTTGTTCCCTCAGGATACTGGAGCCCATGCGGTTTGGGACGAAGGTTTTCCAACTTCCCTAGGTGGATTCTCCATATCCACTAAACCGGTTAAAGCGCCGGACATTCACTTTTCATTCTCTCAATTTCGTAAACAACACCCCCGCCACGAGAAGGCGGTGGAGTAGAACTTCCTTGGTATTGGTTGTATGTACATGACCTTGTGAGAGCATTTCGAGTAGGAGAGCTGACTTTTCCTAATCTCGGCCGTACCAGGGCATTTAAGGTTACATAGAAGAAACAAAATTTTGTAGAATTTTCTGAGTAGCTATATATATATCCGATTAACTTGATTCATCACCATTAATAGCAAATATCCCAAATTTTTATTTCAGAATTATGTTCCATCGAAAATAACACAATCTGATGAATATTTTAATTTACTTGTCCAAATCATTCCGTTTATGCATAATCATGAACAATTTTTACAAAGTGTACATCAATGGCTTAGAGACGAAATTGTTTGGCTTCGATTAATGGTAAGTACATGGAAATTTTCGTACTCCTTCAGATTTTCTTTCATGTATATTTATCGTCCTTCGTTTAATTGATCATGTTGGATAAATCATACTATCTTTATATAAATCAGTACTGAGTTCTAGCACCAGAGTGAACATCAACTCCGCGATGCAGGTCCATCCAGCTGACAAGTCCTAAATAGGACGAAACGCGCGTCCTGGGTTCCACTGTTAGCTATTATCGATCAATGCAGATAATTTAATTGTTTTTCCATTATAATTTTAAGTTGGTAAAAGTACATACTTTATATAGAAAGGGTTATATCTTGAGGCGCTAATTGATATCATGTGCTAAAGCTACTAATCAAAATTCCGATTTTAATCCTATTTTTGTCCCGAATCCACTTTTTGATCTTCAGTTTAGTATCTTAGACGGTTAATAAACGTCTGAACTGCACATTTAACATTGAGCCGATGCAAACCATCTTCTTCTTATTAATAAATAATATATTTGTAATATCCCAATGAATATAATAATTAGATTTTCTGACGTTTCGTGACCTAGTGTAAGCCACTTCTTTAGAGAATAATTAAACAAATCAAAATTAATCCAAGTTTAAATAGTACAAAGGAACAACGCAAGAAGATTATGTGCGATCAATCGAGAAAATCAGGTCTGAATAAATCACTGCCATGTCATTTCGGTCAAGGTGATTCATATGAGACATGTTTGTATATTTGTGTGAGTGTATGTATGGTAAGTGGTGAGAAAATATGACGTTTGTGGTGCGAAAGGATAGGCTTTAATTTGTATGTATGATAATAGTGTGAAATGCCAATAGAATAAAACATGATAGATTGGATAGATAGTCCGAGCAGGATGTATGTTAAGGCCTTCTTTTCTATTGAGAGCGATGGGATTAGGCATTATATGGAACACTTTAACTACTCTCCTTTCTTTGTAATTGGAAAAACATTTTTGTAATATTTTGATATTTTTGAAATCGATTTGGTGGTCGTTGAAAATGGCATGAACTGCTATTGCTTGTACGGGATTATTAGGACGTTTCTTTGTGTACCTAATATGTTCTTTGGCACGAGTCAAGATTTCGTGAGATGACTCTCCAATTTAGAAGACATCACAATCGACGCAACCTAATTTGTAGATGCAGTTCTGTGTTGACATAAATGGGATTTTTCTTTTAAGCATTTCGAAGTGTGTTCGATGTTTTGTAATATACTTTAATTCTGTGTTGCTTTAGGATTCTTTGGAGTTCTCCTGTTGTACCATGACGTTATGGTAAAACTGCAGTAATCATTCCATGGCATTTCTTTCGAATTATTATTACGCACTGAACCGTCTTGTTTTAATATACTTCTAATAATCTTCATCAGAAAATTATTAAATTGTAAGGTGCTAATTACATTCTTTTGTTCTTTTTGTTTATCTTCTTCTGATGTGATAATCTTGTTAGCTCTTGTAAAAAGATTTAGGGCTATCGTACTTATGTTTTGAAAAAGAAATGTGTAGTTAAATTACGAAGACAGCTGGTTGAGATTACCTTCAAACCCCATTTAATAAGATTATCATAAAAAGTTCCGCATTCTCTTCTCATATAAACTATTTTACTCATATTTTTCAATGAGTTCGCAAATAACATGGTATTTGACTATGGATCTTAGTGTGCTCTAACTTTTGATTAGCAATATGTACTACATATTATTTCTTTCTTCATTTTTATCTGATAGATAACTGATCGTCAATTAGGATCGTGTGAAACACCTATTTCTTATCCCTCTGTTGATATCACTCCACCGACTTTCCACTGTGCTACAACTCCAGAATCCACTGATCAAACATCACTAAACAAAGAATGGATAAGCTTCACTGCATGCCTTAGACCAGATACCATTTTTCAGCATTTTCATAATATGTCTATTGAGGATAAAGATTCCTTAATTTGTGGACACTTAAGAATTTGCAAATCGTTATATCAATGTTGTCTAGATTCTACTAAATCATCGTTACAATTGTTAACGAGTGAAGACGATACTGATCAACTGTTTGACCAAATGAAACAAACTTCAGGACAGATATATGACTTCCCAACGAAGATTGTAAACAATGTTGATACAAACAATGATGATAACGTCAACTGCATAAGTACTACATCGAAAGCTGTAAATACTACTGATCAACAATGTAATAACAATTCATCACATTATTTAATAAATCAATTATATTTAGTTAAAGTAAGTTTTGTTCTTCCCTAGTAACTTAATATTTTAGTAGTTATGGTAAAAAGATGCTGTTACGTCCTTGATCTGTTTACCCAATAATATACAGGAAAGAACTTGTCTCGATCTAGATTAAGACCTTGACGCGATATGCTAACTAATTTAACCTTGAGACTTCAAATGAGGGAGTACGAATTGAGACTAACTGCCTTGGTTAGAGAGATGAAATCTACTCTATCACCTGACTGGTTGGCAAACGAGAAAGCGAAAAAAGGAACTCGTCAACCGTCAAGAAACTAGTCTTTCTACTTGTATATTGCAAGTTTGGACTTTGCCTTAGATATTTTATTTGGAGAACCAAGTGTATCGTATGTTACGATGGTTGTACAACTAACGAAGTTAGCTGACTTAGTAAGAGCAGTAAATAAACGACCAGAATAATATTAATACTATTGAGTATAGTGTAGGCTTCAGAAATTACTGAATCTATCCGATACTCACTCTAATAGCTACGAATGAACTAAAAATTAAATTCAGGAGAAATCTGTGCATGCTTTCCATAATATTCAAAACGGATGTCACTCCATACAAATACGAAACGAACACAAACTTGTAACCGCTCATAAGATAAATCTGAATGTAGTATTTTCGTCTCTTCGTCAAGGTTATATGGAAGGAACACTGGTTTTTTGAAGCCTTAACTATACGAAATTGTAAAAAAAAAAACCTGTGTTCAAAATTTTCTTTACTTACACTGAACGTATATATAATAACATTAAAATATATGGCATAGTTCTTACATCATTATCTAAAAATTGAATTGTTTGTGTCCAACTACTTAATTTCTATAAGTAGTACACTACGATTAATCGTTATTCTCTTTTAACTTTTCTTATTTTTAGGACTTAATTGAATTTTTATTATTTCCCGCTTCAAAACAATATAACGAAATACGCAGATCTACAATATATTCACAAATCAATATCCAACATCAAATAATGAAATATGACTACAACGATATTCATGATAACATTATTCATCATAATTCTTATTCTCCATTATCTACATCATATTTCTCTGTCATATCTAATTTATCATGTTCAAGAAAATTAATGAATTCAACTTTTGATTTTCTTCTATCTATAACTAAATGTAACCTATTAAATAGTCAATTATTAACAACTATGCTGTATGATTTGATTTTTTCCAGTAAGTTTAAAACCTACATTATTTGTAATATCAGTAATGATTACACATACCTATGTTGTGCATTGAGAGGTAATTAGCTTTCATTATATAGGGTAATATTGTTATGACTATAGTTATTATTAATGTTCTATCTATCAGTAATTCATAATTGAAAAAAACCATCATTTATTCATATTTTAGCTAATGCAAGACCTATGAATTTCAACTGGAATTATAATTTTGGATTAAATTCTACTAATTCAACATCATTATTATCATCGTCATCAATATTTTCTGATCATATTGATAAAAATAATTGGATTAATAATGATTATAATAATTATAATCGTAATGATAACGATATGAGTATTACACATCGTTTTGTTGGTTTAAAAAATGGTGGAGCTACATGTTATATGAATTCTATTATACAACAATTGTTTACATTGGAACCAATTCGTGATTGTATACTTAGTGCAAATCCAGAATCTTTACTGTTAGATTATAAGTTGTTGATAGATAAAGATGCTTCGAAAGTGATGAATACTTCAACAAGCTCTAGTGATTATATCGCTGATAATATTTGTCAACAAAGATTAGTGAGTTTAATCATGTCACTCTGTTTTTATTGAAGTGATCACTGTCTATTAGTCGATATAACACAAAGAACTATTTGGCTAGTTATCTGACTCTAACATTTTTAGCCATAAATTTTAATAACAAGTAGTTTTATGAGTTAATTTAACGGAACGTGTAAACTGTATTTCTCAGTTTTGAATTGTCTTGCCTACTTTGGTTTAAACAGCCATCACACATTGTTGGTCGAATTTCAGTACGTAAACACATTGCTGTATACTATATAATTTCATGGATAGAATGACTATACATGGGACCATTATGTAAGGTAAATATTACAGCGAGAATTTAGTGATACTGCATTCAGATAAGGATATGGTAACTAATTTTTTTCAGAGTTGAATCGTGTAAATTTGTGGGTTTTTTTCTACTTAAACTCATTATTCGCTAATCGAAATGATAGATTTGTAGTTATTTATATCGTTGCATTAATGCATATGAATTAGATCTTTGGCTACACCTAGATTTCAAGACATATCATCAACCTGATAGTTTTATATATTATTTTCGATCCTCTTATTCCCTTATTGTTTACATTTTTACCTTCTCATTTTCTACCTGTTCTCTCTTTTCTGTCCTGTTATGTAAAGAATTGAAATTATTTGAATTCTGTGTTTACACATTCTTCGTTTTTTTTACATTGTCATTTGTTCATTTTGGAACTGTATAACTTGTGTAGATTATTAAGTTTTCGATTGAAATCATGAACCGATTGATGTGAGATCATCATTGAAAATCTGGAAGCATTGGACGACTGAATAGTTATATACTATACATACTATAACTATTTCACTTATTTGTTTGCTTTTTTCGTATCTTTTATTTCCTTCTGTGTGTTGATGTTACATATGAAAACTTGAATTAAATATTATCGAAAGAACCGCCTCTGTGGTCAGGCCGTTATTACAGGAGAGCATTTATGTATTCGCTCTTTAGTCTAAGCACCTACTAGTTCATTTATATTACCAGTGGGACTGGTGACCATCGGTTTTACAAATCGATACACCGACTTATGAACAACAATCAAAACCTTAAACATTATTGGTCGTCCGCCTTCTCCTAATTAGAAAACAGAGATAGGAATCAGATCAGTTCTCAATTGTACTCTATGCAATCATCAATCAATAGCCATAAAATATAACATACGTGGAATGTTTGACTACACATCATCACAAATGGGAATTACAGTGCTTGTGATAATTTAGTCATGTGATAGAAAAGTGGAACAACAGGGAAATAGTTGATTAGTGATGTCTGGAATAATATGATATATGACAACAATTTATTAGTCAAGTGCGGATCCGCAGGACGATAGCAACCGATGGTTAGAGACCTTGAATGACATGACTGAAAATCATTTGCAATGGAGCAGGTGTATCCACTCATTGTGTCCTCCCAAATCCTAATCTCCTGAAGTCCTCATGTCCCTTTTCTTTTTCTCTTTCCAAATTTGTTTCACTGTATTATACTCCTTGAATAACATCTTCAAACTGTAATGTTTCCGATCATTGTTTATACTCTTACTAACTCTACCACTATGGGATTTGAATCGACAACTGCATCTCTGTGCTAATGTGGTATGGCAACTCGAACTGATGTATGCACGTACGAAGTTTTACGTTGTTACTAACTGAGTGACTGACTGACTATTAGTCAAGTGGAAGTTTAGAAATAGGAGAATATAAAAATACAACAGATTAATACTTTTATTCATTATATCATCAAAATTATAAATAGTAATCCTTCATATCATAAAACTTCACTCTCTTCTATCGGAACTGCTATTTATTTAAACCAGGTTTTACTATTGTCTATCATTTTCTAAATGATTTTTTATATGTTTTGTTTTATATTATAAAGGATGAAGAACTGAAAAATAACGCCACAACAACTCACAATGATCAAACATCACAAGAGTTAAAATTTCAACCCTTAAGTAAAGAAAAAATTCATCATTTAAATGTGTTATATCATATGCAAACTATTTTTGGACATTTAGCTTATAGCCGTGTTAAATATTATGCGCCAGTAGAATTTTGGCGTCATTTTAAGTAAGTTTTTTTCTTCTGTTATTTATTTGTTAAATTAAACATTTATTGTTGGGTTAAATTCATCGATCAGATATTGATTATTTGTTTATCTCTATTCTGTCTTTCCATTGTTTTGTGCTTTTTACTGATTCTATTATGATTTTAGAGGGATATTTGCATTTGCTGTATGAGAAGTGTAGTTAATCAATCTATGTAATTCAACATTTAATATGATTTAAGTCTGAATAGATGATAATTGTTTTTTTGAATTTAGACCGCTTACTTACTACTTGTAGTATAGATAAGATATCTTTCTCACAACGAGTATACTATCAAATATTGAGCTGTGTATTGATTTACGATCGCATTATTATGGCCTATAATTTAAATGGTCATGCATTCGTTATACATGAATTTTATTAAGTTATCTACAAAGTGAGAGTACATGTACAGTGCTAAATTTGGAAGCATATACTCTGATATCATCTACTCTGCTTTATTATCCTGGTTAGCAATGAATCGTACTTTGTTGTAAACTTCCTGGTTGTGTTTCATGTGGTTTGTAAAATATATGAATCATCTGTAGATTTTATCTTCCAACAGAATATTGATTGACTGGTATTTATTTCATCAGTAATGAATTGAAGAACAATCAAGTTTCCGAAAACATACTGATGAATATCATGATAAAAAATGGAAATTATTCGAGAAAGTATAAACTAACCTAAACAAAATGTACAAAATAATTCGAAAAATCATAGTCTAGAGGCAAGCAAAGAGTAAATCACCTAACCTTCTTAGGTCAATTTTCACAGTGATAAGGTGAAATACTACTTCTTACACATTATACTTGTTTCTTCATTGTAAGACGAAAACCTTACCCATATCATAAGTGGTGGAAGTTGGCGAAAGACAGAAGAGCTTAATGAATCCGTGCTGAGATTTTGACAAAGTTCAACTAACCAGGATTGATAAGACTTCCACGATAAATGAAGTGGCCAATGTGCTCAACGTTTTTCCTCCTGATGATCAATTTAGTAGTTGATACAAATCAGTCATAAATCAACACTTTGTATTGTTGCCTGAGGGGATCAAGAAACTGTGCATTTTGTCAACAGAAATATGTCATTGATAACTTAATATTCCGTTAAGAGACCACTTTTAATATTCAGGTTTAGAAAGCCTTCTTGTTGAAAAAAAATATCAGGGTCGGATTTTTCTAATATCTCATGTTGTAAGAAAGTAAGACATTTTGAGATTCTTGTTATATTAGGAAAGCATCTCACTCTCGTCATGTCGAAGCACAGACTTCACATTCAGGCTTTAAATTACCTCTTTTAGTCTAACCTCTCTTTGACTAACCTATGTAACATCGCTAAACCTAAAAGCTACAATCATAACGACTGATGTAATGTACTACTTGAACATCCTTATGTTTATTAGAAGAGATACCAGATTTCAGATTCAGCTGCAACGTAGGACCAGGCACGTATATGCATCGATCCAAGTTGCCATACCGCATTAGCACAACAAGATGAACACCGGATTCATAGAAGTAGTTAATTCAGTGGTGGTAATATATAAAAGAAAGATTGTGTATAAGGAGATAGTACAGGAAGATAGAATTAGTTCGTAGAAAGAAAGATACGAAGCGATTTTATTCTCTTAGCTTAAAGGAAGACAGAGAGTGTATACACCTACGCCATTGTGATCGAATCGGAGCCATGTCATCAAGAGTCTCCAACCATTGGTTACGATAGTCATGCGAACCCCAACCAGGTAGTCTGCATCTACCAACACGGCTCAGACCAGAAGTTAGTGACTTCAAGCACTGATGCTACGTTTTGGTTTGGCCGCCCCTAACTTTCTTCCAATTATCCGTAACACCGGTTAGCATTGCGCGTCGTGGTAATCGGTGTTCAGGCATACGCAACACGTGGCCCAACCATCTCAGTCGATGAAGATTCATAACTTCATCAACTGATTTACCATCATTCCCTAATACCCTACGTCTAACCTCACTACTACTTACCCGGTGATCCCAGCAATCATTCTAAGGCACCTGTGGTCAAATACCAGTAACTTACGAGTATATTCTACTCTTAAAGGCCATGTTTCACAGCCGTATAGTAGAACGGAACGAACTGCCGCACAGTATACTCGTCCCTTAATTAATAGATGGATATCTCGCCCCCAAATGCCCTGGTATGGCCGAGAGCGGGGAGGGTTCGCCCTCCCTCTCGAAATACTCTCACACGGCCACGCGTATACAGCCTCTGCCAGGGAAGTCCTACTCACTGCCTTCTCGTGGCGGGGGTGTTGTTTACGAAAATGAGAGGACGAAAAGCGAACGTCCGGCGCTATAACCGGATCCCAATTCTGTGGTGCACATGGGCTCCAGTATCCTGCGGGAACAAATGGCGTATGAACCAACTTTTGGTCACCGGATTCCATGGGACTGCATCTCCTCACGATGCTCCACTGCCTTGTGGGCTAGACCCTTAGGTCAAAGGCTCGTGGTGTGGCCCCCTAAGAAAACCACCTGCTTCGGTTTGGGCACCCGGGCAGTATCCCAGCCCACTCACTAAAACTATGATGAACTATATGCTTATAGAAAGTATTCGTTTCTCTCCAACTAACATTGAAATGACTGGTATTATTATTATTATTATTATTATTATTATTATTATTATTATTATTATTATTATTATTATTATTATTATTTACTACGTCATTTATTCACCCTCTCTTATACCTACTTTTTGTATCCGCTTCGACTCAGACAGCAGCTCGCCTATGGTGAATATTCAGCTTTATCTAAACGTTTTCGAGTCACTGCCTGGTTGAAAATTGTATGTTACCACAGAATACGAGTACTGAAGCAGTTTTTCTGAAACCACGTGCACCATTCAAACTGGCTGCCTTCAACGTTCGCACACTTATGCAGGTCGGACAACAGATAGGGCTGGCTATGTCTTTGGAAAGTCTTAATATTGATATGTGTTGTCTATCCGAGACCCGTATTCAAGACTCAGGTGAAGTACTACAAGTTCGCTCTCCATCTGTCACTTCAAAAAGCTTGTTTTATGTGCGTTTATCCGGGGACCCAGTGGCATCTTCGTCTGGTCTTGCTGGCGTTCGTGTCTCACTAAGCGCAAGAGCTGAGGCAGCACTAGTCGACTGGATCCCCATTAACAGTCGGTTATGTGCTGTTAGATTAGAAAGTTCCATCAAAGTGAGAAGAAATCGGCGTGAGAAACGATGTCTTTTCGTCATCTCCGCCTATGCCCCGACAGATGGCAGCCCGGATGTAATCAAGGATGAATTCTACAAGTTATCTGTTCTTCTCCAGAAAGTGCGTTCGACAGATATTGTAGTACTAGCTGGAGACTTGAAAGCTCAGGTCGGGCGTCTAGGCACAGAAGAGAGTCGTTTAGGTGGCCGATGGGGACTCGTTGGTCGCAGGACAGATAACGGGGAACGTCTACTGCAATTATGCACAGACCACAACCTGTTTCTGGCTAGCACTAACTTTCGGCACAGTCATCGCCGATGTGCCACCTGGCGTCCCCCTTCTGCATCTCAAGCCTGGACTCAGATTGATCACATCGCGATCAGCTACCGCTGGCGCGGTTGTGTACAAGACTGCCGCTCCTTTTGAAGTACCTATCTGGAATCTGACCACACCCTGGTCTGCGCCAATCTTACCTTACTTTTCAGTGGCCAACGAAGTGACCGCCACCAAAGGATTGATGTTAGCAAGCTGGCTGCAACTTCTGTTGCTAGTAAGTACTGAACCGAGCTAGCTTCTAGGCTAGCTAGCATTCCACCGAAAAGTATAGATGAGCATTGGTTGCAATTGCATGACGCCATGAAAATGGCGGGTAAAGTCTGTTGTGGGTCTGCGAAACGTCCCGCTTACAAGCACTGGGTTTCTTCAGGCTCCTTACAACTGATTGAAGCCCGTCGGTCTACTCCGGGTGACCGTGAGTTTAACCACAGACGAAGGATGTTACGTAATGAAATCGGGCAAAGCTTGCGTAAGGACCGAGAAGCCTGGTGGTCGGAGCGTGCCAGTGAGTTGGAAGCAGCAGCTGCATCTGGTAATTACTGGAAGCTCTTTCAACTCATCCGAGCCACTGGCAGCAAGAAGTTTGGTGTGAGCGAAACAATCTGCGAGGATGACGGAACGCCAATCACTAACCTATCGACGTCTTGGACGATGGGCAGAATTTTTCGGAGGGCAGTTCAACTGGCCTGCTGCTCCGGCAACATCGGTCAGACTGTCCTGCCCTCCATGGCCGGTGCCGACTGATCCACCAAATGAGGCAGAAGTCCTCAAGGAACTCCAACTCTTGAAACGTTACAAATCACCGGGCTCAGATGACTTACCTCCGGCTCTTTTTAAAGATGGTGGTGACTTTCTGACTAAGGGACTGACGACGTTGTTTACAAAGGTCTGGGAACTAGAGTGTGTACCAACGTCATGGAATGAGTCGATAGTTGTCCCTATCTTTAAAAAGGGTTCACGTTGTTCCTGTAACAACTATCGGGGGATAAGTCTACTTCCGATTGCGTCCAAGCTATTGGCATCCGTTGTGATTCGTAGGTTGTTCAGAACCCAAGAAGGACTGACTCGCGAGGAGCAGGCTGGGTTTCGTTCTGGTCGAGGATGTATTGATCATATCTTCACTCTCCGCCAAATGTTAGAACACCGTCATACTTATCAAAGGCCAACAATCGTAGTGTTTCTTGATATCAGGGCTGCCTTCGATTTGTTGGACATGACTGCCCTCTGTGATTGAAGACGGCTGTGCCTGAGAAGTTTATTAACATCCTAAAAGCTTTATACACAAACACCTCAGGCAGAGTGAGGGCATACAACCACCTTTCTCCACTATTCCATTCTAGCAGTGGGGTTAGGCAGGGTTGCCCAATCTCACCATTCCTCTTCAACTTGGCCATCGATGACATTCTGGAAACAGCTCTGATGGATGTAAGTAATGGTGGTGTGGATCTGTTGCCTGGAGAAAGACTTCTCGACCTTGAGTATGCGGATGATATTGTCTTACTGTGCGAGAATGTTCAAGCCATGCAATCCGCACTTAATCAGTTGGCAATCAATGTCCGTAGGTATGGTATGTGCTTCGCACCTTCGAAGTGCAAAGTACTTCTACAAGACTGACAGGATTCTAATCCTGTACTCACTCTGGATGGTGAGCAGATTGAAGTAGTCGAGAAGTTCGTGTATCTGGGTAGCTGCATAAGTGCTGGTGGTGGTGTGAGTGATGAGATCAATGCACGTATAGTGAAAGCCAGAGCGGCTTATGCCAATCTGGGCCACCTTTGGCGCCTTCGTGATGTTAGTCTGGCTGTAAAAGGTCGGATCTACAACGCGACGGTGAGAGCAGTTTTGCTCTATGCTTGTGAAACCTGGCCTCTCCGAGTTGAGGATGTTAGACGACTCTCTGTGTTCGATCATCGCTGTCTCCGAAGGATTGCTGGCATCCAGTGGCAACACCATGTCAGTAATGCAGAGGTTCGGCATCGTGTGTTCGGGCACAGAGACGATAATGCAATTGGTGTCACCATCTTAGACATGTTCTACGAATGTCGTCCCAGAGAATTCCACGTCGTGCATTATTTGCCGACTCTGGGACTGGTTGGAAAAAGCGGAGAGGTGGTCAGTATATGACATGGTGTCGTGGTATGAAAGAAAGCTGCAAAGGGCTAGCTTCTGTTGGTCCTTCACGACTCCCTGGTTGGGGTCTGAGAGACGGTGTAACGCAGTGGCTAGAGACGTTATCAGATATGGCTAAGAATAGAAGCCAGTGGCGATCGTGCTGTAACCTTCTTTTACTTTCGTCATAAAAAGTGGTTGTAACTTCCTTAACTGAAAGATTTCTCCTGATTGTACCTTTCCGTTTCCCCCACCATTGTTCTCTCTCTCTTCCTTTTTTTTTTATAATTCCCCACGTTCATTACTTTTTTTTTCCTTCTTTTTTTCTCTTTTCTCCTTCTCTTCAAATTATCATTGTTTTGTGTGGCGCATATATATTTGGTGCCCCCCTGTACCAATATTTGTGTTCAAATAAATAATAATAAATATCTCGCCTTCGGCATAGATGACGTAAGTTGGCAAAGGCCAAACGAGCTTTTCGAATCCGTGCTGAGATTTCGTCAGGCACCAACCCATTTATGTGGTCGATGCAGCCACGACCAGGTCTGAAGCCAGCCTGATTTTCACGTGTTTGCAGTTCACGAGTCTTAGTTAGGCGTCCGAAAATTATCGAAGCTAGTATTTTAGATACTATATTAGTCAAACTAATCCCTCTATGGTTGTCGCAGGATGATTTTGACCCTTTCTTAAATATTGGGACGATAAGTGATTGTGACCAGTTAGATGGGATAACGTTTAACTCCCAGATTTTAGCAAAAAAAATATTAGTCAACCTAATCGCTAAAACTAGACCACCATCCGAAATAGTCTGACTTACACTTGATTTATTAATTCCAGTTTCTTTTATTAGTCTGTAGAGTTGTCTTGTGTTCCCTATAGCCGCCGCCTTTTCCATCTCTTTTGCTTTCGTTGCCCACCACTGCTCACGATCATTCCTTAGACTTTTGCTTAATCTAGATTTGATTTCTTTACGCTCTTCATCGTATTCAAAACCTGATGGGATGAGTTTGCGAAATCCATTGGTTTTTTGTAACCATTTGGTTTAAATCACTGGTAGATGTCACTGCTGTTTCCACAGCTGCTTGTATAACTTTCCAAGCAACATCTGGGTCAGCCTCGTTTTCAGAACTACTTAAGTGTGACCTCAGTTGTTCCTGGAACCTACTTTTGGCTTTCTCATTACTCATTTCGGTTCTAATGAGTCTTTTTGTGTGGCTCTTTTGCGTCCAGTGAGGCGCAAGCAGATGCGTGCTCGTATTAGTGCGTAGTCAGAGTCCAAACAGGTACTCCAGAATGAGCGACAATCTTCTATCGACCCTCTCTAACGATGACTGATGGCAATATGGTCTATTTGAGTCCATCGTTGGTTTGGTGCGGGGGTCGCTATGTTAGACGATGTCTTTCCTTATGCTTAAAATTTGTGTTTGCTAAAAATAAACGATTGTCTGAGCACTGTTGCAACAGACGATCACCATTATCTGTTCGCTGTGCCGGAATACTAAAATACCCACCTAAATGTCTTTCTGTTTTGTTTAGGCTACCTACCTGGGCATTAAAGTCACCTCCTACGAGTACTATGTCTGAACGTTTAGCTTTCTGAAGAAGTTCAGACAGCTTTCTGTAAAATTCATCTTTCACTTCATCCGAACTGCAGTCAGTGGGAGCGTAGGCCGAAACGACGAAAAGGCAACGACCTGTATCCCTATCTTTCAGGGTTCTTACGGAGCCGTTTATCCGAACAACGCATAGACGACTGTTAATGGGGATCCACTCTAATAGCGCTTGTTCCGCCCTCATGCTTAGTGCTATGCCTACACCTACCAGTCCACGAGAACTAGTCATCGGGTCGCCAGATACACGGAGGGTGTATCTCGTCGGCTCTCCGTTTTGCCGAGGTGAAGTCAAGTGAATAACCACACTAAGATCCTGTATGCGTATTTCGGAGACACAGCATACATCAATCGTACGAGATTCTAAGGTTTTAGCCAAGGAAGCCTGCCGACCGATATGACATAGTGTGCGTACGTTGAAGGCTCCAATGTGTAGTTTGGAGCGAGGTCCCAGTAGACCTGGGATAACGTTTTGAGCATTAGAATCGTTGGCTGTGGTGACACTTGAGGAGGAAAACAAAAGAGGAAGTTTAGTGTATAAAGTCGATGTAGGAGGCACAATAGGAATTGAAGAGGGAAGTTGATTATGAATACAGTTGTCTTGAGTGGTGTTAGAGGTATAAGTGCGGTTATCACTCGCCGGTCGCCCACACCGTGGAAGGGTTCTTCTGGAGGTACCTGAAAAGGAAATTGGATTAGAGGTGGTCATAGTGACCGGTCACACACGACCTTTTTATGAGTAATTTTTGTGTTAGCTCCGTACTTGTTGAGACCTTACCGCCGGAGACGGAAATCCGTGGGATAAGGCGAGGTGTGCATTCTTAGGGTCGACCTTTTCTAACCCCACCCTTCCATTGTGGGAAGACAGCATCGCTTTTATGCTGGTTGTATGAAGGAAACACCTTACTGCTGTCACACCTCTGTACAGTCAGCAGTACGACTTCGCCCTCGGACCTTGGTTTTGTTGCTTTTAGTCTTGCCGCTCTTCTACCGACCTGTCTGGCATGGTAGGACCTTGAGGAACGGTTGTTCCAGCCAGTGTAGCTCAGTTGCTTCATCACGATAGGCAAACCCGACCACCACGTCAAGGTAGCAACAACGGTCAGGAGAAGAGATACCATTCATCGTTGAATCACTTTTTTTTTCTAAATTAAACCACCCCCAAATGCCCTGGTACGGCCGAGAGTGGGGAGAGTCCGCTCTCTTTCTCGAAATGCTCTCACATGACCACGCGTATATAGCCTCTGCCAGGGAACTCTTACTCACTGCCTTCTCGTGGTTGGGTGTAGTTTACGAAAATGAGAGAACGAAAGGCGAATGTCCGACGCTTTAACCGGATCCCAAACCAATGGTGCACATGGTCTCCAGTATCCTGAAGGAACAAATGGCGTATGAACCAATCGTTGGTCACCGGCTACCATGCGACTACATCTCCTCACGATGCTCCACTGCCTTGTAGATCAGATCTTCAGGTCAAAGGCTCGAGTTGTGGCCCCCTAAGAGAACCACCTACTTCGGTTTGGGCACCCAGTCAGTATCACAGCCGTCACATATATCAAATGAGATCTGTGTGGCGCATATGTATTTGGTGCCTCCTTGAACCAATATCTATGTGTTAAAATAAATAATAGACCAAAGATGTTACATTCCAATTTAACTCGTTACTCATCATATTGATACATAATTATATAGTTGAGTTCATGAGTCAATCAAAGCTAGACCACCATGGAAAATAAATATATCTTATATACTTTTTTCGTTTTTTTCTTATAAAAACAATAACTAGATTTCGTGCAGAGGCTGTACATGTTAGAGAACAACATGATGCATTGGAATTCTTTCAAATACTTGGTAATGATTTGGACGAAGCTTTAGAATTATGTAAATTGCCTAAAATTGTTGAAGTTGTGTTAGGTGGTAAATTTGCTGATCAAAAGATCTGTTTGGATTGTCCACATCGGTATGTTTATATTGATTTCATGTAATTTGATTAATCATCTAATATCTTTGAACATCTAGTAGTTCATCATGAAGTCATACTTGATCTCTTGTTCATCTAACATATGTAGATTAAAGATTCTAGTAGAATAGCATGAATTCATTTTTATTCCGTTTGATTCTCATCAGCTGCTTACAACCTGTGATATTTATAAGTCATAATTACATAATGGGTTTAAATTGCTTACATGAGAGGGTTTGGTTAGAAGTTATATTGAAGACATATTCGTAAAGTATATCATGGGTGTAAATGAAATTAATAGACTGAATATTGTAAATACATACCTAATGTGAAAAAATATTCTACATCATTAATTGTGACAACAGCTCAAAAAGGTTAGAAACAATTGATTACATAATGAATAAACATTGATAGGAATATAGTGAGTAGAGTTCAGTTTAAAGATTACTAATGTAAAAGATAATTAAGAAATAGAAATCAATGATGTAATAAATACAAAAAAATATTTTAAGGTGCAGCGAAAGAATGTTTGTCACCAAGGCAAGGAAAGATTAACAACCGTCTTTGTATATGTATATGTAGAATGCCTACTTAGAAACAGCACGTAAACAATGATCATTCTTTAGAAGTATTAAGTGATATGATTCACAATTGATCCCCACGCTCTAAATCCATTCACTTTTTATTATCCCTTAAACCTCGAGTTGTAGCTTTTTTTTTCAAATATACCTTTGCATTTAGTCTTTTCGAACTATATTCTCATTATTTAATCTTTCATATTACCGTCGCCGTTATATTTTATCGACTCCTTTGCTATTCATCTCGTTGTGCTAGTGTATTATGCAGAATTTCAACTGACTCAAACTTTCCCTAGACTTGAGGTCTTTTTTTGATCGAGAAATCAAGAGTAATCTGTGTACAAATAACTCAGATTTTAGTGACGTAATTATGTTGTATTACTTTCAAAATAAGTTATTTTATACTCTTTATGATTCCTTTTCTTCATTCAAGGAACAGTGATTTTAGATTGCAAATTAACACTGCTAAGATAAAGTTCTTTGGATAACTGAGTAATCAAACGTCCAATTAAATTTAGTTTTTATTAGAGATCTATTAGGTTTTTAATTGAAAAACCATTAAAATTTGTTGGACATCGAACAGATAACTTATTCTAGTTTATTATTCCTCAGGGTTCTTAATACCTTCGTAATTGAGCATCAGGTTGTAAAGAGCCTTGAGTGGTATCAATAGCCTTGAAACATCTGGTGTAATTCGAAACCAAGTAAAACAAATCTGATCTGGTAAACGAGTCAAATATTTGTTGGATGGATCCTTGGAAAAGGCCCAGAGGGGGCCTTAAGAACTCTGAGAAGCACTTGATCCAATCAGCACTGAACAAGGGCATCTCAGAAACATCTGGAAAGTGAAAGGTCACGAGTCACATTTGTGACTGAATGATTACTTATCTTGGTAATATGTTTAGTAGGGTTACAGAAGCTCAAAACCATCTGAAATGTTATAGATACCCTCGATTCTCTGTATAGAAACTTACTTTGGAGTAAAGCGATTGTTCCTCGTTTTGCGCGTTTTCTCTTGTGCTCAAGTTATCGTGTAGATTTAGCCTGTAGTTACTAGAAGAGCTTGGGAAAGGGATTTAAGCGTTCAGACAATATTTATCAATATTATTTTGCAATAATGCCGAACCATGAATATTTCTACCAACAAAAGTCAGTCAGTCCTGTGATGTACAATATTTGTAGCTCAACAAGATGATTTTCTGAAAGTTGAAATTCTCTGAGTATACTAAACTTTTCTTTCATTATTTTGTTTTCTCTTTAGATATACAAGTTATGAATCATTTACTACACTCAATGTTGATATTTTAGATCATAGGAATCTAATTGATTCATTGGAACAATATGTAAAAGGTGAATTATTAGAAGGAGATAATGCATATCATTGTAGAATATGCAATAAAAAAATACCAATATTAAAACGTATGTGTATTCAAAAATTACCATTAGTATTAACTATTCAATTGAAACGTTTCGATTATGATTGGGAACAGTAAGTGGATTCATTAATTTCTTTTTAGAGGATTTGCATTATTTTGCTTTCATTTATTTCATGTTATGATAGAGATGATTAATCAGGTTGTACACATAGATATAAAATCAAGGAAATATCTTTCTTACTAATGTTCAATCCATCGATTTGCCTGTATGAATCAGTATGAGAGGATAATGTATGGTAGTGAAAGTAAAATATAGTCGATCACTGAGCCTGGACAAACACACATAGCCTACGGACTATTAGTTATGTTTTAATCGGGTTCTCTATTCCAGGTCGTGAATCATGGTTCTGACATAACGTGACTAGTCTTATTGTCGTATGAACGTATTATCGTAGTATACTTGAGAGTAAGATGAATAGTTTAAACATCCATTCTATCAGAGGACTAACTTGGTTCCTTAAATCTTTGATCAAAGATATTTGTGAAAATATAAACCATAAGCCAGCCGTCTGATTGATTGCAAATCTTAGGCCATTTTCGATTTTTTAAATATCTAACTAACGTTTACACCGATTAGTCAGTGATTAATAAGCAATAATTTGTTTATAAGGTTCTCATTGCTGATCGAATTCGACCGATTAATCTCCAAGGGAGCGACTAGTCTAAATAACTGAATATCGTATGCGGTATTTGTTTGATTTATGTTGGTTGGATCTATTCTGGACCAAATCCTTGTGCTTCTTGTGTGAGATTTTAACCATGTAATATCTAATTTTAACATTGTGACGATGAGTTATCAGTCAATTAATAAGGTGTATCATTCATGTTTAGTTGCATTTGCCCTTTTAATGACTGTTTATCTGATTTCAACACTTCCAATTACTTTCAAATGCATAGATTGTATAATAAAAATCTTTGTTAAGTGCTAATTCTTTTCTGTGAAATTGATGAGTAATTATTATACAATTAATCGTTCGTTAAACATTCTGTCTATTATCAAGGTGCTTAGATGTCAATCATGTTACCTCTAAGCCTTTTTGACAGATGAATATCAAAGATCATGTAGAATGAAATCTAGAATTTCATAGTGACTAGTTTCGATCACTGAGCATCAGGAAGGTGAGTTATTATATCAAGTGGCTCATTCTGTTGGTTGTATTTCTATGTTGATCTATCAAATCTAGCCAACATTAATGGAATAGGTAGTATGATATTACTTAAAAACTATTGACCAATTAATGTAAACTGAAATTACCTCTTCCCTCCAGAAAATGAGTCATATGATTGGAGAACATTTATCCGGATAGTTGAATCATAGTTCTTACATAACGAAATGATAGAATAAAGAAACTGACAAAAACATCATTGGTTAATTCTTGCTAACTAAATTATCTAAGTTGCTTGGCAATACTACTGACGACAATTGAAATACTTATTTCTTTCTTTATGGTTGTAATTGATCATCCATGAGATAACCATCATGAAATCTTTTTATTGCAATGAATTCTGTATGCAGAAGTATTTTCCTCGATCTGTCTTTCTCAATCTTCTTTCTTTCTTTTGTCTTCTCATGATACTTACTATATTTAATGTATTCTACATTTCTCTTAAATAGGGGTGTATCACTTAAATTTAATAATTATTGTGAATTTCCACGTCATTTGGATATGCTACCATATACTGTGCAAGGTTTAAAGGACTCTACAGATTCATCGTCCTGTATAACTACTGATGTCATCAATAACACCAATGATAATAATAATACTGATGATAATAGTCCATGTACAAAATATAATTTACGCGGTGTAGTTGTTCATAGTGGTCAAGCATCATCTGGACATTATTATTCATTTATTCGACATTATCGACCTCGAACAAAAACATACAAATGGTATAAATATGATGATCATAATGTAAGTTCATATTTATTCCACTAATTATTCCTTAGTAAGCATATTGAAATATTAAGGACGCAATGGTCGTCCAGTACTTCCAAGTATTTAATGTTTGTCTAGTTCAGATCGACTCATGAATTTAACTATTAAAATTGCTACAATCTCTACAAATTCCTATTCTGATTGTAAAAATACAACAATCCTTTACTAATCATTCTCATTGTGAACAATCAAAATGAAGATTGTCTTCACAATTGGTTAATCACTGGGTGGTGATCAATGTCATGTGTGTCAGGTTGTTCTTAGTGTAGATCGAATGCTATCGACCAAATTGCAATATGGTCACTAGTCTAAGTGACTTGACATTATGTGCATTATGTTGAGATAAGATGGTGGTTGGTGGAGGGTTTTTTGTTGACTATTTCCAACCACCATCTTATCTAATGATTATTTTTTTGTGATATGATTTTATTAGTTGACATAAGTCGATGATATAATCTATTTTAACATAAAAAAATTGTTACTTAGATCCTAAATTGTTTATTTTAGTGACATTTTTTCTTTAATGAAAGATTATATAAAATGTTTTAGTAGGGTTATTATTTCACTGGTTACTCAAAGTGAAGTCACTCAACAACGATATCTTTGTATTGTAATCTTATCATATGTATTATGCTGCCGATAAATAAATATTTGTAGTTAAGATAATCATCGAAAACCAGAGAGGATTGGATTGTTGTCTTTTTGTTGTTGTATGCAACTTCTCATCATTCACACCTACAATCCTGTTAATGATCAAACACTAAACCTTCATATTTCGCGATAAGTGCTTTGACATTAGACGTCTGATTTGACATCTACCACTATACATTCCTAATTTGAATAAATTCACCTTATGGTGTGATAATAATCTAACCTCATTGTTTCACTGTTGAAGAGGAGTCTAACACTACAGCAAGACTATTTCAACTAAATTTAATTACGTAGAGTTCTTTCTGAAAGTTAAAATTTTGTCTAAATTAAATTATCTGTATAGGGGTTGTGGAGATTATTAAGTTTTTGATTGAAATTGATGTTAGACTACCATTGGAAACTCGGAAGCACTGGACGGCCGTTTCGTCCTTTTGTGGGACTCCTCAGCAGAGCACATCTACGATCCCGCTCGCAGGGTTCGAACCCAGGGTCTTCGGTCTCGTGCGCGAACGCTTAACCTACTAGACCACCGAGTCGGCTGACATCCAATGGTGTTTGTGTTTAACATCAATCAATCAACGAAATCGCGCAACCATTTTCCATTGTACTGTACGGTGGTCTAAGATCAATCGACTCTTGATCTCAGTCAAAAATAAATTAAATTACTCGTTAATATTTCTATGCCTATTGATTCATATGAATTAATTTTACTCATAGTAACAGTTTGGTCTCATTAAATATTTCATTTTACACAGTTGGAGAAAATCAATAGGAAGATTGTAGACTCATTTATTTTATGCAATTACATTTTTTTTCATCAAACTGTTATCATCATTGATTGAATCCATGTTTTAAATGAATAAATCTTTTATTTCATTATTTTTTCTTCCTTTACCATAGTAATTAACCACATACATGTTGCATATGTATAACTTATTAGGTTGATCAATTTTTATTTCTTACATGTAGATGAAATTATACTTTTGTTTTGTTGTAAGAATATTGTAGACAATTCTGATAGATTAAATCGTTTTGAAGAACTAAAATAGATCAAATAAAATATGGTAATTAAAGATATAAAAGAGAGAAATAGTTTAGCTTAGAAACTATAACAATAAGTTTTTATATTATATTCAATTTTAAACAAGTATTAGGAATTTAAAGTGGACTTCCGACTTGGGAACAAATGAAAAAGTATAAATTTTTCAACATTTCTATCTTGTACTAACCTTAGAAGTTTTCATTGGCAGTTTTCATAAAAATGCTTAGAGTGTATTTTTAAGTTTAGAGTTGAAAGTCGATTTAGGAGGAATAATAGGAATTGAAGAGAGAGGTTGATTATAAATACAGTGGTCTTGAGTGGTGTTAGAGGTATAAGTGCGGTTATCACTCGCCGGTCGCCCACACCGTGGAAGGGTTCTGTTGGAGGTACCTGAAAAGGAAATTGGATTAGAGGTGGTCATAGTGACCTGAGAGCTTGGCCGCAGTGCCCAAGGGACAGCTGCTTGAGGTCGGTCACACACGACCTTTTTATGAGTAATTTTCGTGTTGGCTCCATACTTGTTGAGATCTTACCGCCGGAGACGGAAATCCGTGGGATAAGGCAAGGTGTGCATTTTTAGGGTCGACCTTTTCTAACCCCACCCCTCCTTGTGGGAAGGCAGCATCGTTTTTATGCTGGTTGTATGAAGGAAACAGCTTACTGCTGTCACACTTCTGTGCAGTCAGCAGTACGACTTCGCCCTCAGATTAAAATCGCTTCATATCTTTCTTTCTACGATCTAATTCTTCCTTCATGTACTATGTTCTTATATGCAATCTTTCTTTTATATATCACTACCACTGAATTGACTGCTTCTATGAATCCGGTGTTCATCTTGTTGTGCTAATGATGTGTGGCAACTTGAACCGATGCATATACGTGCCTGGTCCTACGTTGTAGCTGACTTACTAAGTGTATTTTAAGGTCGATCTTATTACATTTTTCAGTCTGTTTAATGTTCTTTTCGAAGTTTTAAATGTTAACTGACTCCGTATTTATAGAGAGAATTAATGGCTGGGAACACTCTAAGATTACTAGAAAGACATACTCTTATGTGGTCACACCCGGTAGTAACGAACTTAATAGCAATAGGGAAAGGAAAATACATTGATCAAACGAGCATATGTGCCGGATGTGAACTTGAAAACGTCATACAATACGATGTGTTATCACACATAACGATAAAATGTTCATCCGATCTAGAATATAGAAGTATTATCCCAGGACTCTTATTTAAAGTAGACGGCAAATTTATCGTCATCAACTGTGAGTCAAGAGTGTGGTCGTTATTTTTAGAAAGTAAAATTCGTCTTGGCTGCTGTACTTTAACAGATGATCTGAAATTGAATATCTACCAAGATTACGAAGAAATGCGAATCGCACTCAAGCGGCGTGCATGGATTTAGCTGGTTGAGAAAGTTTTTTATTATCGTGTTGCCTTTGTAACCCTTTAACTTGGCTGTAGAAGCCTCTGTGGCAACTGTGACCCACTAGCCGGATGACTGACTCCGTTGGAGCTAGACAGCCATTCAGAGTGATTCATCGATTAATGGTGCGTCGTTCACCACCTGCGACCGTGTATCATCGTGGATATAGTACAATTAGTAGTTGATTAGTAGCCCAGGGCCAGCCTGTGATTAAGGCTCGGTTAGACCGCTCCACACACGGTCCGGTTTTAGAATCAAATCGGACCTGTACTAAACTTTGTTTTTGCTCTGTTCAATTTTACAGATTTATTGTTAACCTCCGCATATTATAGATGAATAAGCACTTCTTTATTCAACTAATGATGGATGAATTGGTGATAATTTTAACTGACATGGACTATGTGGTATTATGTTTCTATTTCACTTCAGAAATTTGCTCTATTCACTATCTTCTTTTCTAATCTATTCCGTTGTTTTTTTTATACAATCAAGGTTATCCCTGTTCGGTTAGATAAAGATGAAGAGGCTGTCGAACAGTGGTTTGGTGGTGAATGGAAAGTTCCACCTCATGATCTGTCAAAATTCACTCATTTAAGATCTGGTAAACGTTGGTGGAGTGCATATTTATTATTCTATGAACGTGAAGATTTCCATGAACAAATTAAAAACATATCAATACCTAAATTAGGTATGTTACAGTGTTTGCTTTTATTTATCTCTGAAAAATTTGATTTTAAAATAATCAATGATAGTTACTGACTGAATGAACAAATGGTTACTAATTCATATAACGAAATCAATGTATCGTACTATATGATTCAATTTAATTATTCATTAGGTCTGTTTTTATAAGTCATCATAGCTATTCACTTGAAAAAAAATTTATAATCCTTATACTTTCTGTACATTTATTCTTCTATTGTGATGGATTGAAATGATGACTAAATTTGAGAAAAGCATCTACACAATGTCTCGAAGTACGTAACTCTATTAATCAAGTCTTTTTTTCCTCAACCTTTCATTCTTCGTTGTACCATAATCTGAATAACTCCTGTTGGACAGTTTATTCGATCGTTTAACCAATCACTGTGAAGTATTCATTGATTTGACTAACGAAAAATATTACATAACAAATTGTAATTTCAATAAGACTACTTCTTTGTTTCTTTTATTACCTTTTTTTATTTTTTTTTCTCCCGATTATCAAGGTTCAAATCCAAAACAATCAAGATTAACTAAACGTGTACAAGACATTGTAAATTGGCAGAATATCGAACATTTACATCATCGTATTCAATTTGACCCATTGCTTCCAGAATTTATCTATAATTTAATTGATAATAATTTACAATTGTGTATGGTAAGAAATGTATAATGATTGTTATTCATGTATATCAGAAGTACCTAGAACTGTCCATGTGTTCTTTCCTTTATCCCTATTGATTTTTTTCAATAATTTTGAGACCTGGAAGAAAGCTATTTTATATATGAGTTAGCCCGTTGTTATCAGTTCTTAACTTATATTCTCTTAAATACCAAGATGGTTAACTACTTTACTTTGTTAATACACTATTTAGATCATTGTCTTGCATTTGATTTAGAAAAAAGAATCATCTTTACATTAGAATAATATTAAGTCAAGAAAACATAAAACAACGCAGTATTTCTTAGAATGGACATATGACAAATGTAGTGCCATGAATGGGCAGTATTTTAATGATGTTATGATTAAAGTACTATCAGTTTTGTTGAAAACACTTTTTATAACCTTAAATCATTTATTGAACATACCTACTTATCTAGTAAACAGTTGTCCATTATCAAGTTATACATTGAATAATACATTAATACAAGTTAAGTTCAGCAACTACACCTTCATATTGAATTAGTGTTTGTAATAGCTGGTTATTATATGTAAAGTCAGTCAAACGGAATACCGTATAATCTTATACAAATATACGTCAGCTCTAAGCTGCTACACCAAGGCAGCGCAGCTAGTTAACATTAATAGCATTAGTAGTTGGAAAAGCAAAATAGTAATGTACAAGATTACATACAAAGAATATTGTTCGAACAAAATACTTTATAAATTTTTCGAATTAAAATATGTAATGTTATCATTATTAACGATTTGAATCTGTGCAGTTTTTCCGATTAGAAACATGTTTAAGAATACGAGTTATTAAGTAGGTCAACCCTAGCAACCTGTTCGTCACAGAGTACATTTGCTAGATAAGGTATTGTAAAACTTTCATACTTTTGCTTACGCGCATGGATTCTAATGTATTGGCGCCTTGTTTTACCAAAAGATTTACAAAGAGAAAGGTACGGATGAAGTTACTATTTGATAAGACAACATTAGCCAGGAGTTCGCAAGACTTTAGATGTCTATCTACAACCATATTAATAATGACCCCAAAAGATTCACCACACACCATGCTAACCGCCTTCAGCACATGGCAACTAAAGATTTCGTGTAACATAAAGATTAAATTTATCGACATCACTGCAACTAATTCTAGGTTATGTCATCCAACGTTTTCAGTTATAGATATATGAATTATCACTTGGATCCTAAATACACAAGTTGTATTTCTTCACATGATGAACCACAACATTCAATGATTTAATGATAACATCATGACTTGTTCTGACCTCCTTCAAGCCTACTCGTTAAATCATATAGCATAACACCTTAAAGTAATCAATGATTGAGTTTGCCTCAGTCAACCAGTTAATGAATATTAACAGTTTTATCAATTAATTTGCTAGAAAGCATGTATCGCTTTTCTCCCAAACTTAAACCTGTAATCATCAATGAATAGCGTTGATCATCAAAGTGAAACATGTATTTGGTTAAAATGTTTATTCATTTATATTTTCTGCACAAAATTTCTTGTTCTTTGTTTCTATTCAGTTTTTTTTTCTATTATATTTCTTGTAGACTAATTCCAGTGCTTATCAGAATTTAGGATTTATTACTGTAGAATTGTTACTTCATTTTATTTTTCTACGTTATCATGTGGTCATATCAAATTGGTATGTTAAACTGGTTATAACTATGTTTAAATTTTATTATTGTACAAGTAGTTATGCTTATAATTCAGAATCAACTCTTATTGTGTTTGTTTTTCTAAACTGTAATCAATTGTAAATCATACAGTTGTAACAGTTAGTGTGAAAATACAAAAAGTTTTGTGAAATACTATTCCGAAAAATTGCATACAACCACTGCCAGGGAAGTCCTGCTTGCTACATTCTCGCAACAGGGGTGTTTTTTACGGAATTGAGAGGGCGAAAGGCGAATGTCTGTCTCTTTAACCGGATTGGTAAACACGAAGAGTTCATCTACGGGAGTTGGAAAACCCTGATTCCAATCCAATGGTGCACATGGGTTCCAGGATTCCGAGGCGTATGAACCAATTGTTGGACACCGGCTACCATGATGCCTCATCTCCTGACGTTGCTCCACTGCCTTGTGGATTAGACCTTTAGGTCGGATGCTTGTGGTGTGGCCCCCTGAGGAAACCACCTGCTTCGGTTTGGGGACACGAGTAGCATCCCAGCCCTCATACAAATCGAATGATCTGTTTAAATAATAATAAAATATATTGTATAGATAACCAATATTTTTCGAAAAACTTTAATCCGAATGAAATGAGAAACTACTTTCTGCTAAACAATATCGTATCTACATATCAAATGGTTTCGTTTGTGATACTTTCTACATTAGATTTTTCTCATGAAATCTTAACTCATCATATGAAGTACTCAGGCATTACAAAAAAAGTTGAATGTTCCAGTTGAACTCAAGAACCTTCAAATCAATTTACCAGTATATATACCATCTTTTTATCATCCATCAGATCTATATTAAAATTATCAAAATAATTCAAAATGGCTTCTGCATTTTGCATTTATTACTAAGGTTTATTTAATTACCTATCAAACTTCGGATATTTTTTCAAGTATTTATACTTAAACTATTCAGATTTCATACTGTTATCGTATAATAAATTAACTTTACCTCCCTTCCCCTCATCTCATAAATATCCCACTCAGACGTGCATGGATACGGGTAAACATTCAAGGCGAAATTGAAATGTCACTCATAACGATCAGTAAAAATGTCTGTTTATATTGCTCAGAACGTTTAAAATGGTTGTGAAAAATTACTTTTTTCCAAATATGGAGTTAAAATTATAATATTGAAAGTACCAAATGCTTAGTTTTATCTCTGTACATAATATATGATTGACAAATCGATACTATCTCTAGATCTGTACACCTAGTAGTGACACTGAATTTTATGGACTAACTAATCAAATAGCATTTCTTGCTTTTTTTTTACGCTAAATCCATGCATCCATTTGGCTACAGAGCCTTATTTACACTATAGGTGATGTCATTTGGTGATCCATTAACCTAACTACTGAAATCTATTGTTCGTATAAAATTGTGAAGATTGTTGAATTTCATTTAAATTTCGAAGTGATCTAAGTTAGAATACCATTAAAAACGTAGAAGCATTGGAAGACAGCTTCGTCCTGTTATGGAACTCCTAAATCTAACCAAGAATAATGTGGAGATTATTAAAAATCTCTTTGGATCTTTTTCAAGGTTGGGAAAAATGAAGACAAGTTTGTTTGTTTTTGTTTTCCAGTTTACTGACGGAATCACCTCTAGAATGCTTTAATAAATTCATTACATATGTGAAGTTTCTTTACACATCGTAATATTAATGTATTATTTCCTGTAAATTGTTTATTTACCAAAAACTTTTCTGATTTGCTACGAAGTGACCAAAAATTGGTTGCTGTTGTTTTTAGCTCGTCTTTACACTATACTCTCTCTCTCTCTCTCTGACAAACTCATCTCACCTTCTTGAGTCATTACGTGCAAATATATTTGTCCGTGTCAGTTATTCAGTATTAACCTTAAAGGTTTTTTGCTCATAAGTGCATATTGTCTATTTATCGCTTTATCGATCCAACTATAAATACTGAATCATATTTTGCTAATTTGGGTAGACAAAGTTGTTTATCTCCTTGCCCATCATATCCTTGAAGTAAATTATTCTACTTCATTTAATATTTGTCTTTTATTAGCATCATTATTTAATAGCATTAGCCTGAGCACTGGATACAACAGTAAGTGGGCAATTTACATTTGATAATAGTTCATTTTACAATCATCATCATTATTGGAGTCGAAAAGAGGTAACGAATTTAGTTCGGTTATTGATTGATTTTCTAAGAAAAAAAAACAACTTACACAAATTGAAGCATCGATTGTCAGAAATTCACTTTTCCTACTTATTGAGATAGTATACAAATGTATTATTAGTTTTTTTTACACACACATTCAGCCTGGAGTCCCTCTAAGGCTACTGCCGGTCCCAAGCTCGGATAATAGAGGAGGGTTGGGCATAGGGTTAGCGACCCCATCCCGTAAAAATCTAACTCGCTAGAAAAACGCTAATCAGAAAAAATTATTCAAAATTATTATTAGTTTATTTAGTTCATTTATTTATCATTCTTTATTTTTTATCCTTTTCTTTATATTGTTTCATTTTTGATTTTGACTCAAATCAAAGGAAATCTTGGCTACTTTTATTCATCAAATTGATTTCGATTAGTGCGCCAATAAGATGTGAATTAATTAAAACAATGTTTTTAGCATCACCGGATCAAATTAGATTTTTACAATTCCATTGTCCTTATCCTGAAGTATGTTGTTATTTGATGTAATAATAATAATAGTAACAATAATAATATCATCATTATTATTGTATTGATTTGTTAGCAATGCTGATTTGCAGTTAGATGGTTACTGTGTTATATGTTTTTTTTTCTTTCTCTCAATATGATTTTACTAAGAGAAGGATTCAGAAATTGCTTTTCGAGTTAGTTTTAATTAGACAATCATTGAAAACTAGAAAACAGCGGACAGTTGTTTCATTCTTGTATGGTATCTTTCATCAGTGCACGTCCACGACCCCAATAGGGACCGAATCCGAGATCCTCAGGTCCTTCGGTGGATGCCTGTTATCTTTTAGGATCTGAATCGGCATCCGATACTCCACATTGTTTTACTTTATTTACGTTTTATGGAGGATGATTTCGCCTCCCTGTTGTGCCGTAGATATTCACTACGGAGTCCCACACTTTAACGAAAACCTATCCAACGGTTCTTGTTCGTGTTGTAAACTAGAACAGTACAATAATCTCCTCAAACTCATCTTAATTTAAAATAAACTATAATCTGTTATCTCGATGTGATTACACTAATTGACTAGACGCAATCAACGGGCAAATATGAACTGAAGTTCGGTTTCTGTTAATTATAATAATATATTCAAAACAACTTAAATTCTAGTACATTATGGCATCATCAATAATTAAATGCACTATACAAATGAACTGATAATCATTGGAGGAAAATGAAGAAAGGGATGGGTCATCTCGGTCGATAAATCAATAAACGGGAATTGTATCCAGTAAGTAATACAGTTCTGTTAAAAATACAGTCTAGAAGGGATTCATTTAACAAAGGAAATTTAACTAAATTTTATGAGGAATGTTTTAGGGAACCATAGTAAGATTTCCAGTGGCTTCTATTCTGATCTATTGATGGTGATGTCACGTTGATTCATTGATTTATATATTCGAGTCGAATGTTCGATTCCAAATCTTTCGATTACCTCTGATATTGTTAATATCTCTACTATTTTGGGATTTGGCCTAACAATTTCATCAATCTGTGGTAATGAGGTATGGCGACTTAAACCAATATACATGCATGCAACGCTCTGTGTTGCGACTGACTACAGGTCCTATGTGGTTGACCGAACAATGACTCAGGTTAATATGAGCCTTTCTGGATTTCACTATTGGTACTTTGAAGTCTTCTAAAATCTGCCATCAGGAATCGTGAAACTACCTAGTTCTACTCATCTCTCGACTATTTTCAACCATTCCTTCTAATTCCTACTCGTTAGCAAGATATATCTATAGTCCTAAGAGTTTTGGTGTTTCTCGTGTCTCTTGAGCTCGTATCATCAGGTATCACACTCAGGAATAGTCAAAGACTATGCCACTAATGCATCTAGTCAATGTCTAATCTTGTATTAGGCTAACATCGTTACCACTAAATGATCGGCTGATGTAAACACTAAACCTACTAACAATTATTTGCTTCATTGAAGTCTCTTACAATCGTTGGTTTCATATACAATAAAAAAACTAAATCCACAATTTCTTGATTATTGCATTCTATTTTACTGTCATCTTCATTCTGTTTGTGTCATGGAACATTTTTCAGTGAGAATTTGTCTTCTAATAATCAGCTGACTTTATTTTTCTGATTAATAGATGGACGTATTATTTCTAGTGAATGTGATTATCAATACACAACCTGGACATTCATGAAATGTCTAGAGTTTGTTAACGTTGATGCATCAGTTGAGTGCAACTTTCTTTAAGTGTGGTGGTGATTCCATCCGCTATCATTGTACTATGTTTTCAACAACTTTCTAGATAGATACGTGTATTATTCGCGCGTAAAGTTTTCCTGATTTCATTCTCTCCTTTTTCTGCTCTATTTACATATATTTACATATTCTTACGTGTCTGTTTGTTTTTTAATTTTTTTTCCAGATGCGGTTTCTCAGTGCCGCTTTAATCATTTATGTCTGTCATTTGTGTATGAATGATCCATCTGTACAGTGTGAAGATATTCTACATTCGTTTATTTCACTGGTTAACAGTTCTACCATTATTACTAATACTACTGAAAGCAGTGACAATAATAATAGTAATTGCTGTTCTAGTGTATGTAATACAAGGTCTACGTCAACCAACACTACTAATGTGACCACTTCTCCAAGTATTGAAGTTACTGCCAATACCACAAAAATAACTACTGCTGCTACTACTACCACCAGTGTCTTGTCTTATTTATTAAGGTCTACATTGAATGAAACAAAATCACCAGTATTTGTTGAAAATTCAACCGTTGATAACGCACAGATTACTGCTCAAATATTTTCTGCCACGTGTTTTATTAATCGTTTTATAAGTTTATCACAGAAACGTTCTTTCCGTTCTTTACAAAATGATCCCAGTAATACTGATGGCAATAATAATTTATATAGTCAGCTGATTAATCCAGGAGAGTGTTTAATACAATTGATAGTTCATCAGTTGCATTTCTCTCCAAATACACTAGCACTATCATCAAATAAATCTTTCCAGGAACAACAGCCAAACTATCATCAACCCTACTCTACTATTCGATCAGGAAATCCTTCATCATCATCATTTACATCGACACTTCAATCTATGATGACAGTACCATCAACATCATCATCGACTACGTTATATCCATCTGCTATTAATAATAATAATCGTTCTACATTATTACCATCATCATCGTTATCAACTGTGTGTCCTTCATCTGTAATATGGGCACAGTATTTTGCTATTTTGTTAGATTATGCAAATTATGGTAAACAAGAATGTTGTTATCTGTTAAAACTACATGTCCCGGAAATTTTAATCAAGTGTGTTGATGTATTTTTAATGTTTTTTTAATGAATTTTTTTCATTATGCGTAATGATGTGACATAACTGGAAAATTTATGATAAAATGTTTTCTTTTATTGTTTGAGACCAGTGTAATCTGGTCATAATTTCTGGCGTCTCTGTATTATATTTCTGTCTTTCGCTAGCGCGATTATCAACTAGTTCTTTTACACTTCCAGTAGGACCGATGAACTTCGACTTAACAAATCGACACACCGACTTATGAACAACAATCAAGACCTTGACCATTGTTGATCATCGGCCTTCTCCTAATCCAATGACCAGTTATAAAACAAAATAGAAATCAGATCAGTTCTCAATTGTACTCTATGCAATCATCAATCAATAGCCATAAAATATAATATACGTGGAATGTATGACTACACATCATCACAAATGGGAATTACAGTGCTTGTGATAATTTAGTCATATGTGATAGAAAAGTGGAACAACAGGGAAATAGTTGGTTGGTGATAAGTCTGGAATAATATGATATATGACAACAATTTATTAGTCAAGTGGAAGTTTAGAAATAGGAGAATATAAAAACACAGCAGAATAACACTTTTATTAATTATATCATAAAAATATGTATAGTAATCTTTCATATGATAGATCCAATATTATGTTTTCATACTTCACTTCATTATATCCTAGTGACGGCTTAAAATGATTTACCAAATATACGAACTAGATAGATAGCATGATCATCTCAACTATATTTATCGCCATCTCGATGATTCATATATATTAGTATAATTTGTTGACATCTTTATAGTATATTTTTGTGGTCTAGTACGATTTGCATTTTAAACTAACGAAGAATATGTCTAACGTTCAATTAACTCTGTGAAACGTGGGACGTAAACGTTAAACGGGGATTTTCGTCCTGAAAGTAATCGTGTTTACAATTTGTTTGTGTTGGAGCATGTTTAAAGTCAGATTAGCTTGAGTTCAACACTGGTATCAATAAAGAACACTTTCTAAATTTCTTGCTTTATTGACAATAATTAACTCAATCCTGTATACAAATCGTTATAAATTGTATTTTGAGCTAAATGACACAATATATTTCTGAACTTACTAATAATAAATGTGATTTAGTCGTAACTAGTACTGCTGGAAGTTTTCTTTATAACTTCCGTTTTAAGCTTAATATTTATTTTTTTTATTTGAGCACATGAGTGTTGGTACAAAGGGGCACCGGATACATATGCGCCACACAAGTCACTTGATTTGTGTGTGGGCTGTGATAGTTCACGGGTATGTAAATCGAAGCAGGTGGTTTTCTTAAAGGGGCCACATCCAGAGCCTTTGACCTAAAGGTCTGATCCACAAGACAGTGGGGCGACCTAAGGAGAGACAGTCCGATTGTAGACGGTGACCAACGATAAGGTCGTACACCTTTTGTTCCCTCAGCATCCTGGAGCCCACGTGTACCATTGGTTTGAAATCAGGGTTTTCCAACTCCCCTAGGTTCATCCTCCATATCCCCCAAATGCCGAGGGTTAGGAGAGTCAGTTCTCCCTCTCAAAATGCTCTCACATGGCCACGTGCATACAACCACTGCCAGGAAAGTCCTACTCACTGCCTCGTGTCGGGGCTATTGTTTAAGAAATCGGGAGGACGAAAAACAAATGTCCGGTGCTTTAACCGGGGTAAGCTTAATAAGTTGAAAATACCACAATATAATTGATTGTTGAATAAAGCAGAAATAATTTTTCTGAAAATACTGTTACATTTTTATGATTGTATTTCAGTTATATGCTGTCCTATGAAGTTATGTTGAAAAGTGTTGGGACTTATATATCCGGAACAACAACATCAATACCGTATACTCTTTCATCTTCCCTTCCCGGCTGGAACCAAGAATCGCGTAATTACAATTGTATACAAACATCCATCAAACGTTTATACAACGAATTATCTATGGAAATTCAATCATTTAGCTGCGCAAATTTGCGGCTTTCATCGTGTTTAGATGCTTTAGTCTATGCACTTCTAAATAATTCAACAGTGTCAACTACAGCATCGAATTCAAATTTTGATTTTTACAGTCAATATAAATATGACTATAATGATACAGTGAACAATGAACAGAATAATTTGACCACAATTAGTAACCATGATTTTAATACTACTGTATCTAGTCTTATCACGTATTGTGGTTTAAAAATCTCACTGGATTTATTATCTTATCTAATCAGATCTTGTGAAATTCCATCTCACTACCTCAACTTCTCACCACGATTGTCTTCGTCATCACCATCTTTTTCTACGACAACCTCATCTGCTAATTGTCATTCTTTAGCAGAAACCGAAGATCAAGTCGCTCGTAAAATAAATAAAACTGAGAAACATTTTGAACCGCATGGAACTTGTTCAATCATTTCAGAATCATTATTAACTGATACACAAGCTAACTCATTATCTACCAATCAGCATAATCCTTATTGTGTAACATCTACTCCATTGGTTACTCTTTCTAATTCTTTAATCCAATTATTTTTTTACAACCAACCAGAACGTTTTGTTAAACGTTTAACAGGTTCACTCCTTAATCCAATCACATTGAAGCCGATTTCAGATATTCTATTGGTTAGTTTTCAGTAGCATTTGCGTTTGATGTGCTATTATCAGTTTTTTTATATCGGAGTTTAATGATATGCACTACAGAGTTTCAAGATAGATCACAAACTTAAAAGAAAATTTACCAGTAAAGCAACTTCATTATGCTTTTTTTTAAAAAAATCTACTTGAAATTTCATTGACTGATAGAAACCACAATTATATGAAGGAAGAACATTCATTTCAATGAATGTTTCATCAGGTACTCTACAATTATAAATCCAAATTAATAATTCATAAAATTGGCCAGATTTAAGGCACCGTACATCACTTGGAAATTGTAATATATGAATCAAGAATTGTTGTTTGTTATATAAAACCAAATCGTTAATGTTGGGGGCTAACTAATATGAAGTGTTAACTTGAATAAGTTTATAAGTTAAATAAAATTGTGCGATAAATGATCAGAATAAATATGGTCAATATGGGGTGAGAGAGAGAGAGAATAATGGAACAAAAATCAGATTTCACGCAATATGTAGGACAATATGAACTAGGTCAGATATAATAGATAGGGGTGAATGCTGGATAAATTTCTCAAGACGTTTGTCAAGTGTAATAATAATAACAATCATAAAGATAATAATAATAATAATGGTAAAGATAATGACAAGTTTGGGACATAAAATAAACATTATTCACATTACGTCACCACATAAAATTGATTATTAACTAGTTGGCCAGGGTAAAAGGAGAAGCTGAGCATATTTCTTTTTGGATGCAAAGCTCTGGCTTTTTGATCCGATTCAAGTTAACACTTCACATTAGTCAGCCCCAACATTAACGATCGAGTTTCAAGTAAGAACGTACCATCTGTTTAGTCTCCCAGTTTTCTGTGATTCTACATTCCATGTCAATAGTAACTAAAGTTCTTTTCAAACGATACGTATATTTTCACCTATTAATGAGAGATACAATAACAGTATATTGAAAAATTCGAAGATATATATATATATATATATATATATATCGACATGTCATATCTTAAGATTTATGTTTTATATACTGAAGCGTGTGGCATAACAATAAATTTAGCCGATCTACTCGGAATTAACATATAGCAACAGTAACTAATCGATCACAATTTGGCATATCAGCAACGAGAAGTTACAAATCATGACTCATATCTCTATACCTATTCAACCAGTTAGTGACCATCTAGACTCGATCGCTCAGTGAATAACCTGTGCATTTGAAGGAATATGTTCTCTGTGTTCTCATCCCGATGTGAACGCCAATGCGAGTTCTTAAATATATTCAAATGACCAGTCTCAAATCAGGCAAAACACGCATCTTGGACTCCATAAATTAATAAATGTTAAATATATATATATCGATATTATTTTATATTCCAATTTCGCCTACTTCTTTTTTTCATTTTTCGTGTATTTGTTTATTTTCTTTTTCATAGTTCCTCTCTTATGAAAATACGAATTTTTCAGATCTTATTCTCAGGGAATTAGTTTATTCCATTTTGCATCCATGTGATTTAGACAGTATATTAAAATTATTAGAACGTCTATTACAGGTATCAGATTCATTAAAATCTGTACGTATACGTCTTTTGTTTAGCTGTAAGTTACCTTTAGAAACTGTAATCGTCCTTAATATTATTATTATTATCTATACTATTATTATTATTTCTGTTTGGTAAACGCCTGTCGAATACTCTTCTAGATTTGTGAACGATACTTCTCGGTTGCCCACATCGTTGAAGGATGTGGCTGAGCTACAATTGACCTATCCTATGGTATCGAAAATTTTAAAATCAAACGAAAGTAGTTTATATTTTAGGTTTCTTAGATGATTTCTTAAATTGTGTGAACCGGTTAGAAATGATTTTCAATGATTATCGAAAAATGTCGATCTTTTTTACTTCCATTCAAAGTTTATCAATAATGCAAGCATGTTGTCAAAGAAACTTCCACAGTAAATCTTACACATGTGGTATAACACCGTGAATGGAGTTAAGATGAAAGATGTTCACTTGTATTCAATCTCTCCCACTTACTTTAACATTGATTCATTCGGTTATTAGGTCAGTATAATAAATACGTAATATTTCATCAGCATTTTAAGTTATAAGTTATCATCTGAGTAGTTTTCTTAGTGTATAATTGAATCTTAAGTTAACAAAAATTTCTCTCCAGCGTCAAATGAGTTTCTTCGTGATAATGTCTCGAATCCACTTTATAATACAATCTTTTCTATCCTTCTATAGACATATATTCATCACATACTGTGATCTCAGTTAGCTGGAATCCTCACGGCTGATGAATTCTTTACTAGTAAGGGATAAATGTCCAATGTTGTATAGTTTTCAATTGTATCTCGACTAAGGTCAAACCACGATGAATGCATTTTTTTCTGATGTGATCATCACTTTCGGTCTCTCATTTCTTACTCTTTCTTTTATTTCATTTAAAGATTCCAATGATGTTGACTTATTCAAACTATTAAATTCCAATTTTATTTATGAAACCAATGCTGCTGCATATCAAGTATTCTATTTATTCCTTAATTTACTATTCACGGATTCGGATGTAATCACTTATTTATCCAGCGAAATCTATTTGGTTAAAGTATTAAGTGAGGTAAGTCTAACAATAGTATTAGTATTAGTGAGTAACTGTTGTTATATTAATGGTTATAATAGTAGTATTATTCGTATTTATCTATCGTTATTATTCTATTTTTCGTCATGGGTTAAATAAATTCTTAGAAAAACATAATTCCTAGGCTAAAGTTCACGATTTTAAGTCACTAATTTGTCAACATTTCAAGGATAAATAGTTTTTAAACAATGATTTACTGCTATTTATATTCGTCTGTAAATGTCCCCATGACTTGTCTTTGCTTATTGTTAAACATATTTGACATATAAATTCTACGGTGATTATATCTCTAAATAAGAGATAAGAGAAAATTTTCTGAATCAACATGGTATATTTATATATCTCAGTAATTAGGTTTTCGATTGGTTGCAAACATTATGTGTTAGGTAAGGAAATAATTCACCTATGATATAATCAATTGTGTATACTTACGGATTTTTACAAAATGGCGAGATCATAATCTCAAGTTACCGTGAGAAACTTCAGTTAATCAGGAAAAGTCAGTAAATAGTAAGAATGTATTATACAAAACCAAAAAAATTATAATGGATATACTTCTTTAACATGGTTTAAAAACTTTTCCGGATTAGAATGGGGCTCTGTAGTTCTAATATTGTAATGCATACGATACAGAAACTCATCCATGTAACTCCATAATAGTTGATCTCGGGAGTCATGATAAGGTCGCAAAAATTCTTTTAACCCTCACCACTCCCTTGATGGGTTCCACAAAATGTTGCTTGTGAACGGCAATTCGATGCACATAATCAACTCTAAATAGGCATCGATATACTCTCCAGTCATCCGTGTATATTGTGGCACCAGGCTGCACATACTCTCGTATAATTGGTATTTTAGTTGTAGCTTGCAGTCTGTGCCACCTTCATTGACCACCAAATCAGTATTACAAATAATAAATGATTGATGTAAGTTTTTTTCAACTGTAAGAAAAAGTGAGTATCTATAACTTTTCAAATATTGCTAAATTCTACTCCCCTCAATAGAAGTGAAAACATTACCATCCATCAAATTTGAACCATCTATCCAAGATGCTGTATCTGTTTCTATTCATATCTCATACTACTATCATACATACAAATTCAACTGTTCATATTACGAATGTTACACTCATTAACACATATATACACAAAAAAAAACATCACTGAATCAATATGTGATTGACTCTCACAAAATATTTCCATTTGTCCTTTTATGACATTTAAACTTCAGACAATTTAATTCGTTCAACTTATATACTCCCTAAATTAGTAACTAACAATGAGTTAAGAAACGTCACAAATGTTATTTTCCATTCACAATGTATTCGAAAGTATCAAGTTTTGTGGTATGGGCTACTTATATCCATATAAGTAGTATATGACGTTACTCAAGAACAGAATGTCTGGCACCAGAGAGACAAGAGGATCGAACAGTAAAGGATGGAAACAGTATGCCTGGAGTTGAGGTGCTAGTTGGGGCAGTCTAGTGCGAAGAGGTGGCGCCGAGTTGAGTGTTCTGGCGGGGCGGCCTTGACTATGGCGGGTGCTGTCGACGGAGAGGAACGGTGGGACGTGGGGCAGCTGGGCGGACATGTGGTGCAGATGGCTCAGCATGCCGGTGGAGCACGGGTGTTAAATGTCCTAGGTGTCGGGTGGATGTCGGATGTTAGTGCTCCGGCAAGTTGACGGAGCTATGGAGGTCAGTGCTCCGCATACTCGTCATTTTGACGGAGGGCGTGGCATAGACTACAGAGAAGAAGGAAGTGGCACGGCGAGCAGAACCACCGCAAGAACAAATGCTTTAAAGTGGGGGTGGGGATGAGTGTGGTGTGGGTTCAGTCAGTCAGTAACTTGGTACGTACATACATCAGTTCGAGTTGCCATACCACATTAGCACAGAGATGCAGTTGTCGATTCAAATCCCATAGTGGTAGAGTTAGTAAGAGTATAGACAGTAATCGAAAACATTACGGTTTGAAGATGTTATTCAAGGAGTATAATACAGTGAAACAAATTTGGAAAAAGAAAAAGAAAAGGGACATGAAGACTTCAGGAGATAAGGATTTGGGAGGACACAAGGAGTGGATGCGCCTGCTCCATTGCAAACCATTTTCAGTCATGTCATTCAAGGTCTCTAACCATCGGTTGCTATCATCTCGCGTTACCCAACCAGGCAGTCTAAAACTGCCAACATGGCTCAGTCCACTTGTTAGAGACTTCATGGATTTATGCCATGTTTTGGTCTGGCCACCCCCAGCTTTCTTCCAACCTATTCCCACACCACCACAAAACATCATACGTCGGGACAGTCGGTTGTCGGGCATACGTAACACGTGTTTCACTACTTCATCAATTGATTTGCCTTCCCTACCTAGTACTCGTTTTCTAACAACTGCACTAGTTACTCGTTGTTCCCAAGACATACGAGCAATGTTTCGAAATGACCTATGATCAAATACTAGTAACCTACGAACACCCTCTACTCTTACCTGCCATGTCTCACTGCCGTAATGTAGGACGGAACGAACTGCTACGCAGTAAACACGTCCTTTGGTTGATAGACGGTGTGGGCTACTTATATGTGGTATATGATGTCTGGCAACAGAGAGACAAGAATGGAAACAGAATGCCATTTGTATGAAAATGCAAGAATAATGAAGTACTCAAATACATTTGATTGTCCGCCACTGGTGTTCTTGATCACTACAGTTTCACCTTAATAATATTACCTGCTAATACATTTATTGATTTGCATTTCAATGAATCATTATTAGTTGTACTAATCTATTATTATTATTACTATTACTATTCTATATCTTTGTGGATTAGATAAACCAATATCTTTATGTCATATATATATAACATTTATTATTGAAAAAACAATGTAAATATATTTTTTTGTAATTTATAAATTTGGCATTGAATTTATTTCATAAAATATGCGACAGGTAAATGTTTTCGAGTAGTAGGCCACATAAAAAAAGGAACAAATTATTTATGTATCTATATGTATACTTTTTCAATATGTTACCTTTTCTTTCTAAACATGAATTGTTTATTATTCTTTAAAATAAATATTAAATTCTACTGATCAAATTAGAAAACTATAATCATTAACTAAACTAGTTGGTTTAATGTTGTATTGAATGATTGAAGGTATTTATTTCTATCACAATTCGATTAAATATTATTAGTAAAGTCAGTGTATGACTTCCAGTTTGTTGAGTATTTTGTTTTCAAGTTTGAAATAAAATCACAAGATAGACAGATAGCATCCTTTATTGCGAAATATTTGATTGAGACTTGTCATAAATTATTAGTATAGAGGTTGTGGAGATTACTAAGTTTTTGATTGAGATCATGAACCAATTGATGTTAGATCACTGTTGGAAACCTGAAAGCACTGGACGGCCGTTTTGTCCTGTTGTGGGACTCCTCGGCAGTGCGCATTGACGATCCCTCTCGCAGGATTCGATCGGTTCATGATCTCAATCAAAAACTTGTCATAAAGTTGACATCAAGTCATCATTTTTAGTGTTGTACAAAAGCTTTCAATGACGTATACTAAGGTTTATTGAAGCCTTGGCTATATGGAAACTGAAACCCGCCTTATGCATTCATAAACAATTTGCTCTGACAGCTAAACTACCTTGGTAGTACTGATTTATTATCCAGAGTGGTTATCACGTTGTTTTTGTGTCGTTTATTATTTTTTCCTTGTTACGGCTTACCTTTAACCTATCTAGTTGACCTCTTCATTTTCATATATAAATGTTCTTAACAAGTACATCATGTGTGATTAGATTGTTCGAGATATATTGCGCAAGTATATCACATAATTCTGATAAACTTCGTCTTCTCATTGCATTATCGAAATCTATACACTTGTTTTGGCATAAAAGTGCCATTGCAGTATTGAAGCAATAATGACGAAAAACAATCAATAGTACCTTGCATAAGTATTGTTTGTTAATAATAATTTTTACTAATATAGCTAGTACCATTTTGTATTGGCTTTTGTGATTTATTTTTTCTGGTTATATCGTCAGTTTATTAAATCACTAATCATTGCACTGAATCATTTAAGCTGATCTAGACCATCTGTTTAAAGTTCACGCAATCATCCCAATCAATAATTAAGAATGTTTGGTGGCGTTACTCTTGGTCATAGTTCACATATAAATTCACTCTTTGCATTATTCCTTCAGGAAGTAATTTTGAAGATTACCGTATACTTTTCTATCACACGAATCCATTTACTTTTCACGAACAACATTGTCTATGTTTGATTTTTTCTAATACCACTGATGCTGTTACTACTTTTATTTCTCTAACTAGTATTTGTCTTAACAAATTTATTTCGATTTAATTTGATTTGATGTGACAAGTTGAACTGATGAATGTATGTACGTAGGTTCTACATTGCTTGCGCCCGATTGACTTGTAAATCATCAGCTTATTATGTGCACATTCCTTTGATTTGGGTACAGTAATATTTTAAAATCAAGATAAGTATATATATATATATATATATATATATATATATATATATATATATATATATATATATTTCCGAAGTTTCTATGTTGTGTATATTGATGTTTATCTTATTATATTTATTTTATGACATAATAGCTTACTGCATCAGCTTTGGATAGTTTAAAATTAGACACATCAGATAACTGGCTTGATGATAAAGAAAAAACAATAAAAGCATTGGAACAAGCTGGACGAATTCTAATGAATTTGGTTAGTTTAGATGAATAATTATTTTTATTATATTGTTTATTCTCGGTTTAATTTAGTCAACATTACATTTTGGTATCGATAGTGTCTGGATATATGTAAATAATGTCTTAACTAATATAATTGACTAATACAATCAAATCAACGAATTCCCTATCTTGATCTAATACTGTAAACTTAATTTTAGTACTGATTACTTAGACAGTTCCAGCTTGTATGAACTATACACTAATAGTAGAATACGAAGATAAGCCAATCAGGGATCGAAATCCAGTTTCAAGGTCATTAGCACATGATACAAATATACGGATTAACTATTGTCAGAGGGAGTTTTGTGGAGATTTTAGTAATTTCATTCGTTGAGATCATGAGTCAATTGAAGCTAGACTGATAAGTCCTGGGTTTGAATCTCACGGGGGGGGATCGTGGATGCGTACTGCTGAAGAGTCCCATACTAAGACGAAACGGCCATCCAGTGCTTCCAGGTTTTCCATGGTCTAGCTTGGATAGACTATTGATCATATACTCACTAATTCCAATGGTAATGTAGTGCTAACGTATCTACAAGAAAAAGGCCTGCTCCACAAGATTTTTTTATATGGTTCAGGTGAGGGAATAAAACTAGATTAAAAATTCAGGTTAAGATTGGTGATTAGCGTTGAAAATTATGGTTAATGAATAGGGTTACTTTTAAGGTAGAATTAGAGTTCATTCGCGTGAACAATATGAAATAAGTTTAAGCATGTTTGTAAAGCTCTCTCCACCAATATGAAGCACCGATTAGATGAAACTTGTTAGCCAAATATATGAAATGTTTATAATTTTGCTTATTCAATTTCAAATTTCAAGAATCTCCAAGTTACACTTGAGAACTCCATAAATGACGTACCTTATGGTACACATTTCAGTTAGATTTCTGTCGTGGTTTTTTTTCATTCAAAAGTAATCATCTTTACAGATTCTGATTGATCAAAAAGTGACTTTACAAGAAATAAAGTGGAAAATACAGATTTTACAAATCGTTTCGAAGGAATTGCTTCTTTTAAAAACCTTTTATTTTACATACTCAATAGTGAAATCACTTGATATTCAAGTTATCTATCTAAATAATTTATTGAACTTAAAATCACTCTGTTGAATGATTTTATTTAAGCTTATTTCTCAAGTTTATTGATGTTTGTCAGAGCCATATGATTGTTTTATGTCTGAAAGCATCCCAAAATACCATGGAATTAACGAAGGTTGGGAGAGTTCGCTCTCCCTATCGAAATACTCTTACATGTCTACGCGTATACACTCACTGTTAGGGAAGTTCTACTCATTGTATTCTCGCGGCAGGACTGTGGTTTACGAAATTGGTAGGACGATAAGGGAACGTTTGTCGCTTTAATCGGGTTGGCGGATATGGAGGATCTACCTAGGGGAGTTGGAAAACCCTCATTCCAAACCAATGGTGCACATGGACTCAAGGATCCTGAGAGGAACAAATGGCGTATGAACCAATTGTTGGTCACCGGCTACCATGGGACTGCACGTCCTGCCCTGTGGATCAAACCTTTAGGTCAAAGGCTCGTGGTGTGACCCCCTAAGAAAATCATCTACTGTCTGGGCACCTGGGTAGTATCCCAGTCCTCACATAAATCGAATGATTTTCGTGGCACATATCTCTTTAGTGCCTCCTTATACCAACATTTATGTGTTCAAATAAATAGCGATGCTCAAAACATATATAGCTTATGAGCATTTCTTGTAAACCAAAAAAGTTTATACATTTGTATTGTTTTTTTTTTTAATTAAAAACACATAACAAGGTTACCGACATTGTTATAATTAAATAATCTGATTAATTCGATTAAACTTAGAATAAAACTTTCATTATGTGAATACTTTTTCATTTGTTGAAAGATTAGAACACGTCTAATAGTAGAAGTTTGAAAGTCATCTTGTTAGTCATTTTTACTGTTTAAAGAATACGAACCTATATATTATTCAGCTGCAGTGTTAAATAAACTACCATGGGTATTACTGTACGAATGGATTATGTATACAATAGAAACTAGTGGATTAATCAGAAATTCCTAAGTTGATATCGATTTCTGTACACTGATGTCAACCAAAGAAAAAAAAACTAAACCCTAAATTGTGAAGTATTGTTTGTTGCAGATAGCCTGTTTGGTGCTTGCTCTGCTGTGTATTTAGCCGATTTCATCGTTATCTGTTTTTCAGTGCTCTCTGAAAACTCCGATTTCATTCTATCGATGCTAACAATGTCATGTTTACTTGCTCTTTCTATTGTGACTGGTTTACTGTCTTTCTAAATGGTTTTATAAAAACTGTCGTAGAGACTGGAAGGGCCGTCGTACTTTAGCATTTCTGACGAATACATGTGGGCATTTGTCTAATTTAATGAGTGCGAATGATCTACTTTTCTGGGTTTGTGGTTAGACGAACCTAATGGATTCAATCTGTTGTTTTAATTGTTGTACGTAGTCGGTTATCTCTGATAGAATATCTGTTGGACAGTCAGAAAATTTATCAGGCGAACGTAACGTCGTCCCATAAGCCAACTCAACTCAGTAGCACAACAACCGATGTCTCGTTTAACAGTTGAGCGAATGCGTGATAGTACCAAAAGAAGCTTGATATCCCATCTGTAACCTCCAAAAAAAAACTGTCAATGAGGCCTTTAGCTATTGATGGAACCTTTCTATCATCTCGTTAGCAGCCGAATGATAAGCTCTGGTTCTAATCCTCTTTATACTGAAAGTATCCGTAAATTGCTGGTACAGTTTGCTTTCAGACTGTGCTCCACGGTCGTTCGCAATTGTTGTTGGGACACAGAAGTTTTCAATCAGGTGTTTCACTAATTTCTTTGCCATAATTGATGTTGCCGTGATTATTAGCGGTATACCAAACTACCTTTTTTTCTTATATGAATCCGGTTTCATTACGAAGAATATTAATCTATAAAATTGGTTATCATTAATTATTTCTCACAACTGTTCATTCTCTACCCTTTCTGAGGTATTATCGAGGAAATTTCTTAAAATACCATGATAGAGGCATTGACTTCAACTTAAGCAAAGTTTAGTATCACTTGCCAATATTATTTTTTTGATAATTTATATTTCATGTGATACATAATCATGTGCACCAACTATTTTTGTACTTTTTTGTATCAAATTTCAAGTGAATTTCATATCACAGTCTATTTCATTCATCTCTCTTATTATCATATATTTGTATAATCTAGATCCCTTCAATTGTGACGCTTCCAAACGATATGATTGGTATGATTGAGAATGATAGTGTACAAAATGATGACGGTGATCTTGATGATGATAATGCTAACGACAATGAGAACCAGATCACCATTTCCAACAAAACTAACAACAAAAAGCAATATGATAATCGATTTTCAAGTTGGGGAAAAAGTGAAGAGAATGATGATGCTGATGTTGAGGAGGAAGAGGACGACAATGATGACTATGGTGCTGCTGATGATGATAATGATGATGAAAGGGAAGAAACAGATGAGAGAAATGACCGTTTAATTACATCACTTTGTCGTATCACCTCTTCATCTCTGTCAACATCTTATGACCCTGAGCTAGATCATTTACCTTCAAATCATGAATATATAATTAGTCGTAATACAGCAAGGACTAGTACTCGTACAATAGTCGATACCAGTCTAGATACTTTTAATCATACATGTATCACTGCCGGTCCACCGGCCACTACTACTTATACTACTATTACTACTGCGAGTAGTAATAATAATAACAGTAATCTTAATAACAGTAGACAAATATACGGACAGTTATTGTCATGTGGTACATTGTCTGGGGAAATAGCAACTCACAAACAACAAGAAGATAGTAGCTTTAACAATTCTAATAATAACAATCATAAATTAAATGATAACAAAGGTAATAATAAATAATGTGAATAAAAAATCAAATAAGTTAACCTATTCTTTTCTCATCTTGTTAGATCTTTCTCTTCATTTATGCATTCGTCAACTGTTAAGATGGATGATTAACATTATCCTTTTTTTCCTACTGTTTACATTTGGTTACTTGTCATCATGATTACCAATAATTAGTTGATTATCACTAAAGTGCCAAGTAATATATATATATATATATATATATATATATATATATATATATATATATATATATATATATATATAAACTTACTAATAATAATAATAATAATAAATACCTCTGACCATAATATTAAACCGAGTAATTCTATTCTAACATTTGGTCTCTCCTAAGCTCTTTCATTGTATCATCAAATGAATTCATATAATGATATTTATATTTTTAGAATGTACATATTCACTATTGTATGTGTTCACTTGGTAAGTTCATATTATTCAGTATAAAACATAAGATTATTCATGAATATAAAAGTAGACAATATCGCTTTTGTTGTTTTTTTTTTTTTTTGCATTATTGTTCATATTTTACCCCCCCCCTTTTTAGATATTGCATCATAATAAGTCTCTTTTATCTCTATGATTATTATTATTTGTTTGAATTATGATAATAACTTCAAATGTTAATATATTTATATATTTGTGAATAATAAATGACTATATGTATTTCTTATCTTATCTTATTCTTCAAACTTGATCTTTGTTTTGTTTTTGTTTTTCTTGTATTATTTATATGGGGTTGAACATTTTGAACATTTCTCAAGTTATCGTTGTTACTCTCTCCCTCCCTCCCTTCCTTCGTTCCTCTCTCTCTCTCTCCATTAAGTTTCACTATTATATAACAATTAAATATAAGCTAATTTATTTCTTATTGTATTTTAACAAACTCATTTGTTTAAATAACCCGGTTACAAATAATTAGTTTAAAATAATAATAAATGTTTATTTATTTTTTACAATAATTTCAATGATAACTATATTTGCTTAAAGAATGAATTACTAAAGAAAACTTTTATTGTTGGTTATCATTTATTACTGATTATTATATATTAAAATAATATATACATAGAAATATAGATTTACCGGGTCCATTCATTTATGCTTTATGTAGTGAAAGTAATAGTTTGTTTGGTTTTTTTGGTTTTCATCTTAGTTACTTTATTCTCCCATCTTTTGTTCACTTTCATTTTTGTCTCTTTCTCTCTGTCTGTCTATCTACCGATTTAGGTATTATATCAGTGTATAAATGAAATTTGTCAAGATATATATTTATACAAATCGTTTACATTTTATAACAGTCAAATATATTCATTATTATTTATTATATCTTTTCTTTTTCTTTCTTCCTTTCTTTATACAATTGTAAAGATGAAATGAAAGAATGTTTTCTATTTGTATTAAAGAATTAATTTCATATAAACACTATGCTGAATGTACTCTTTGTTTGTTTGTTTTCTTCCATTTGAATTACAAATAAACTTTGTGATATACATATATATGTATTTTGTTTCCTCTTATTTATTCATAGGTATCTGTGCGCACATACGTTTGTTTTTTTGTTTTTTGTGTGTTTACAGTTTGTTCGATGAATTGATTTCCATTCTCTTTTTCTTTTTTTACTTAGTGCTTACATTCTTGTTGTTTGTAATTCAATTATATTGTCAGAAGTAAATGATTTTATCTTTGTATTATCTGTGTTCAGTTTCTTGTATTAAGCTATATTACTAAATATAGACTGTATGAGTAACACCTGAAATAAAAAATATTATTTATAATCAGTGATTATAGGAAAATATTAGATGTGAATAGAGTGAAATCAGTCATAATGATAAAGTTGTAAACATTTTCTATCTTTCTTAAATATCTAACTTTCGTGTGTAATGTTTACTTTTGGACTGTAGTTCTCATGTTTAGACATTATTACTCATCGTGTTGATTTCTTGTTGTTGAGATGATATGAGGTATGATAACGCAGACTAAGTCCAATGTTGTTTATGATTGACTGAATTTTCTTAGTAACTTGTCTGATAAATATACTTATTAAGATTATAAGCATTCCAGGGAACACTAGTTTTTTTATTGAGTTCATGAACCGAGTGGTGTTACACCACCGTTAGAAACCTGAAAGCACTGGACGGCCGTTTTGTGCTATTGTGGGACTCCTCAGCAGTGCTCATCCACGATCTCGCTACTGGGTTCTAACCCAGGGCCTTCAGTCTCGCGCGCGAACTCCCTACTGAATATTTTCCATTTGTGACAGCATATCATTGTTTAGATTCGAATCATTTCCCATAAAATAAACTATTCAGTCGTTTCATCATTCCTCGTCTTACAACTAGAAAACAAGATATCTCATGCACATTATTTCTCCTGACCGTTGTTGCTACCTTGACGTGGTGGTCGGGCTTGCCTATCGTGATGAAGCAACTGAGCTATACTGGCTGGAACAACCGTTCCTCAAGGTCCTACCATGCCAGACAGGTCGGTAGAAGAGCGGCAAGACTAAAAGCAACAAAACCAAGGTCCGAGGGCGAAGTCGTACTGCTGACTGTACAGATGTGTGACAGCAGTAAGGTGTTTCCTTCATACAACCAGCATAAAAGCGATGCTGTCTTCCCACAAGGAGGGGTGGGGTTAGAAAAGATCGACCCTAAAAATGCACACCTTGCCTTATCCCACGGATTCTCATCTCCGGCGGTAAGGTCTCAACAAGTACGGAGCTAACACGAAAATTACTCATAAAAAGGTCGTATGTGACCGACCTCAAGCAGCTGTCCCTTGGGCACTGCGGCCACGCTCTCAGGTCACTGTGACCACCTCTAATCCAATTTCTTTTTCAGGTACCTCCAGAAGATCCCTTCCACGGTGTGGGCAACCGGGAAGTGATAACCGCCCTCATACCTCTAACAGCACTCAAGACCACTGTATTCATAATCAACCTCTCTCTTCAATTCCTATTATTCCTCTTACATCGACTTTCAAACCTACACTTGCTCTTTTGACTTCCTCCTCAAGTGTCACCACATGGCCAACGATTCTAGTGCTCAAAACACTGTCCCAGGTCTACTGAAACCTCGCTCCAAAATACATACTGGAGTCTTGAACGTATGCACCCTATGTCAAAACGGCCAGCAGGCCTTCTTGGCTAAAACCCTAGAATCTTGTACAATTGATGTATGCTGTGTCTCCGAAACACGCATACAGGATCTTAGTGTGGTCATTCACTTGACCTCACCTCGGCAAAACGGAGTGCCGACGAGATACACCCTCCGTGTATCTGGCGACCCGATGACTAGTTCTCGTGGACTGGCAGGTGTAGGCATAGCACTAAGCATGAGGGCGGAACAAGCGCTATTAGAGTGGATCCCCGTTAATAGTCGTCTATGCGCTGTTCGGCTAAACGGCTCCGTAAGAACTCGAAAGGATAGGGTCACAGGTCGTTGCCTTTTCGTCGTTTCTGCCTACGCTCCCACTGACTGCAGATCGGATGAAGTGAAAGATGAATTTTACAGAAAACTCTCTGAACTACTTCAGAAAGCTAAACGTTCAGACATAGTACTCGTAGCAGGCGACTTTAATGCCCAGGTAGGTAGCTTTAACGAAACAGAAAGATATTTAGGTGGGTATTTTAGTATTCCGGCACAGAGAACAGATAATGGTGATCGTTTGCTGCGACTGTGCTCAGACAATCGTTTATTTTTAGCAAACAAATTTTAAGCATAAGGAGAGACATCGTCTGACATGGTGACCCCGTGCACCAAATCAACGATGGACTCAAATAAACCATATTGCCATCAGTCATCGTTGGAGAGGGTCGATAGAAGATTGTCGCTCATTCTGGAGTATCTGTTTGGACTCTGACTACGCACTAATACGAGCACGCATCTGCTTGCGCCTCACTGGACGCAAAAAAGCCACACAAAAAAGACTCATTAGAACCGAATTGAGTAATGAGAAAGGCAAAAGTAGGTTCCAGGAACAACTGAGGTCTGAAAACGAGGCTGACACAGATGTTAATTGGAAAGACATACAAGCAGCTGTGGAAACAGCAGACTATTTCGGAAAAAGACGACACTCTCATCTGCTCCCAGTCCAGACGTTTAGAACGATGGGCGGAACATTTTAAGGAGCAGTTCAGTTGGCCTTCAGCTACTCTACAACTACCCACCATTCCCAGACAGTATGAATGGAACATTGAAGTAGATCCCCCAACTCTAGCTGAAGTTCAAAAGGCTATAGCTAATCTGAAACGAGGAAGGGCAGCTGGTCCAGATGGATTGGCCCCAGAGGCCTTTAAGGATGGTGGTCTAGTTTTAGCGATTAGGTTGACTAATATTTTTTTTGCTAAAATCTGGGAGTTAAACGTTATCCCATCTAACTGGTCACAATCACTTATCGTCCCAATATTTAAGAAAGGGTCAAAATCATCCTGCGACAACCATAGAGGGATTAGTTTGACTAATATAGTATCTAAAATACTAGCTTCGATAATTTTCGGACGCCTAACTAAGACTCGTGAACTGCAAACACGTGAAAATCAGGCTGGCTTCAGACCTGGTCGTGGCTGCATCGACCACATATTCACCATTCGTCAGGTTCTAGAACACAGGCATACTTATCGGCGTCCGACAATGGTGGTATTCCTTGACTTAAAAGCAGCGTTTGACTCTGTTGACCGAGAGGTTCTGTGGCAGTGTCTGTCATTGAAAGGCGTACCTCAGAAGTACATAAACATTGTAAAAGCTCTTTACTCGAACACTAATAGTCGAGTGAGAGCTTATGGCGAACTGTCATCTGCTTTTGCAACCTCAAGTGGCGTCCGCCAAGGCTGTCCACTTTCTCCATTTTTGTTCAACTTCATCATAGACCTCCTGATGGAAATAACGCTCTCATCGACTGACTTCTCGGGTATTGATCTCCTACCAGGAATTCCACTTATTGACTTAGAATACGCAGATGACATAGTCCTGTTTGGTGAAGACGCTGATGAAATGCAGAGTCTTTTGGTAGCACTGAGCAACAA